GAGGAGGAGGAGGAGGAGGAGGAGGAGGAGGACGACGACCCAGATGAGGAAAATCCAATCCATCATCCCGTGAACCTCTTTTCGGACGAAGCCGAACCGGAAGCCCAAGATGGACCAGATCAGGATGTTTCCGAAGAATTCCACAGTCCAATACCTGCACGACATCCTGCCACCCAGTCCCCCGTGGAGGTGCAGGTTCCTATCCGTACGAATGGTTCCTGGAGGGATGGCACACGGAGAAATCAAGCGGGGACAAATAAATCACTGTCCTCGCAAAATGGATACAGGAATCAGGTACCGGAGACCCCGGCTCAACCTCGTCGAAGACGAAGAGATCATGACACTCGCAAGGAGGATGCTGCAGATCGGCCAACGGCGTCGTCCAGGAGAAATGAATCCCTAAACCGACGACCTTGTCCTATTCCGGTCGAGGATCACGAGGTCCGGCTCGGTATTTTTTCTTGGCTCAACGATACCGTGAAGGAATCTGGATTCAAGGAGGATTGGCAGATAATTTGCCGACCGAGGAGAGTTTTGAAACTACGGGCCGATTTCTTCATGAAGGATCGTTTTACAGGTCCAAGCAAGCTTATCCAACGTCTACGCGACCTCTATAAAACTATGGCCCGTGAACCCTATTCAGCCAACTCTTCCATGACAGACCGGTGTCGACTCATCGCCAACAGCATTTTCAACGAAGGCCAGCTAGTTCTCATCGAGGAAGCCCTGGAGTATGAAAATGAAGAAACTGGCGGACATTTGATTAATCAGTTTGAAGCACATATTGTGCCTGACTTGATCAAGCTGCTCATTGTGGCATTCAAGACCTACAAGACTGTGGGAGACGACGCGAAACCACACCTCCGCATTGTACTGGATTTACTCTGGGCCATATGTCACCGGATATCTTCTATTCAAGATGTTGATGATCGCATTGGCCCTTACGTACAAGCTACATCTCATGAGGTCCTTTCGCATGTCAAGGTCGTCAAAGATGCACTTAATGATGGTCGACTGCATGAAAGACTTAATCTGGCCAACCGAGTCCCCAGAAGGTACAAACATTTTGAACTGACAGAGGTTCAAAGCAATATTACTTGTGACCCGTGGACCGGGTCAGAGAAACAGGCACTCCTGGAAGGATTAAATGAGTTCAGTGATGGTAAGTCACAATTAAAATATCCATTCTGGTCGCGCTTCCGCTACATTTTCTAACCACACAACAGATGAAGACACACTTGTTGATCTAAAGTGTGACATGAGATATGGACCTGCGCTCGAAAGGCGTACTCTCAAAGATCTACAGGCCAAAGCACAGCGACTAGGGCTATGAATCAGAGATGATTTGAGGAGCAATATCCATCAGCTCATGTTACAATGTGCCTCTAATTTTAGTTACATACCCCCTTTGCGAGTGAATTTATATCTATCGATGTTTACAGAATATAACCTCGGTTCCATTTCGGGTTTAGCCGCGAACCAAAGATCGCTTTGTTTTGGTCAACATTCCACTGTTTACTTCGACACTCCTTTTTCATACTCTCAACCTTGGAAATAGCCATAACTTAGACTTGAGATAAATTATATAGTCAACATGTGAATATATAGCTCAGTTAACAAAATATATAAGCTACCTCCAAATACCAGCGATCTGGGCTGGAAATTGCAGGATTAGCACTGCTCGTATTGTGCCCAAAGTGCGCCCAAAGTGCAGATCAGACACAGTAGAGACAACAATTGAGACCAGCAACCAAATCTGAGCGTATCACAATCTGCAAGGGCTTTGAACACCCCATATGCACCAGTTAGTGTTTACAGACTGACGAAGTGACGATCTTCCCCCCCTCCAAAAGACACCGCCTTCTGCTTCTTCGCGCTTCCCCTTTTCTCCGTACTCTCCCCGTCCTCTTTTGGTGGTCATTTTCTTTCCCCATTTGTATTTGGTTAGCAGACTTCGTTTGGTCTGTAGATCGGCTTTCGACTGAAGCCTCTGAAGTTGCCGGAACGGTGTGCACGGCGCGTGAGTATCTCAGTTCTTTGTCTAGTATTTCTGTTTGGAGACCTTGCAAGCTCTAGTGAAGCTGTGCGCATATCGAGTCGGGGCAATTATACCATGATCACCAATCCATTGGGTTGGAAATTTGGAATTGCCAGTCCTTGGGTGTGTATTGGCACTAGGAACAGGTCTCCTGACGGGTCCATGGGGTTGCACAAACGAGAGCTACAGCTTGAATTTGGCTTTGGAGGCATATACTGACCTACGAACAATGCGCTTAATGTTATGCAGCTTTATTCAACAAGTGCTAACGGAGCTTTTACCTGACAGTTTCCCTGTACAACAAATTCACTCGCACATAGTCGAACCTTTACTCCGAAGCCTGCCCTCCTTCAATACACTAATTCGAACGGACCGCCACCATGTCGGATGCTGAGCCCGTCATGGCCTCTGCTCCCGCAGAAGTCGACGAGAATGCGCCCCCGGCTACCCCGGTAGAGTCGACTACCCTCTCGGGAGGTGAAGAGTTGGTCAAATCGAGCCCCGAGGCTTCCAAGGAGAACTCCAAGGCCTCTCCAACCAAGACCAGCCCTGGAACACCCGGAGCTGTGCAGCGCCCTGTCTCATCAGGAACAGCTACCAAGCGGCCTACGTCGTCGTCCACAACAAAGCCCATGACAACTGCCACCCGCGGTACGACCAGCAGCACATTGAACAAGCCCCCTACGCGTCCTACAACGACTACGGCTACGCGCAAGCCCCTGAGTACCTCCACTACCTCGTCTCATCGGTCTCGCATGTCCGTTAGCAGCTCGGCGGACGAAAAGCCCCGCTCCGTGGCCAGCTCTGGAGATGAAAAGAGAGGGATCTCCGGTACCGCTAAGCGAATGTCCATGGCTGGCACTACGTCCACTCGCGCACCTTTGAGGCCCACGTCCTCTTCAGTTGATCGTCGATCCAGCGTTGCCGGTCCTACTGCGGAGAGGAAGCCTGCCACCACCACCGCCACCGCACGCACCGCCACCTCCACGAGCAAGCCAATGGGCCGTTTGACCTCTGCTGCCACTCCTGCGAGCCGAACTACCACGTCGACTTCCACCACTCGTCCGACTACTACTCGACCAACCTCGACCACAAGTACCGTGAGATCTGCCACAACCGCGGACCCCAAAAAGCGATTGAGCACCATCAGTGGTACCTCTGCTACGCGCGGCGCGGGTGATTCTGAGAAGTTGCAGTCTCTTCAGACAAAGCTCACGGAAAGCGAAGAGACCGTTGCCAATTTGAAGGCAGAGCTTGAGACCGTCAATGAGAAGCTGAGCCAGCTGTCCGTGTCAGCTGAGCAGCCCTCTACTGATGAAGGTGCTACCGATGCACTTCGCACTGAACACACTGCCGAACTCGAAAAGTTGACAGCATCTCATGCCGAGCAACTCCAGGCATTGCAGACCCAACTCGAGGAGGCTGAGACCCAGCGTAAAGAGCTTGAAGAAAGCTCTCAAAGGGAACTCGAGGAGGCCAAACAATCCGCTTCCGCACAAGGCGATGATAAGGCGACTGCCTTACTGGAGGACCTCAAGGCCGCACACCAGGCTCAGTTAGAGAGCATTGGAAAGGAGCTTACAGAGCATAAAGCCGCAGCTGCCAACTTTGAGGACCAGATCGAGGCCCTGAATAAGGAGCTCCTGTCGCTCAAGGAGTTGGAGGAGCAAAATGCCCAGCTCACCCGAGAGCTCAAGGGTCATGATCAGGTTTTGGAGAACTTGAACACTGAAATCAGTAGGCTGAACGCCCAGAAGGAGCAGGAAGTTCGCGCCGCAGAGGAATTTGCCCAGCAGAGTGTGTCCACCCTGAAGCAGCAAGTGACTTCCCTTGAGGCCAGACTTGCCGAGGCTGAGTTAGCCACCCAGCAGAGCTCTGAGACTACTACCGAGTCCATCGCCAAGAAAGATCAAGAAATCAGCGATCTCAAGCAGGCCCTCGCGAAGGTGGAAAGCGAGCTCCAGGAGGCGCGCGACGCCGCTGCCGACCAGTTGGACACCAAGGTCAAGGAATTGGAAGCTGCCCATGAAGCTGCCATCGCCAATCTGAAGGCCGAACACGACACCGCCATCTCTTCTCTTTCTGATTCCCATGCGAAGGAGCTTAGTCTGGCTATAGCTGCAGCGGAGTCTAGCGGCTCAGACCACATTAAGGAAATGCAGGAGCTCCGCGATGCACTTGAGTCCTCCAAGGCTGCTGCCCAGCAGGGCCGAGAGGATGCCATTGCTGAGCTGAAGGCCGCCCATGAGGCCGAATTGAACTCCCTCCAAGAGCAGCTTCAGGCATCTGAGGCTTCTGCCCAGGAGGGACAGCAGGGTGCAATTTCCAAGCTGAAGACTGCCCACGAAGAAGAACTCAAGACCCTGCAAGAAAAGCTCGAGGCTTCGGAGAGTGCTCTCGCAGAATCTCGTCGCGCTCTTGACGAAGGCCAAGCTTCCGCCCAAGACGTTGCCGTTCAGGAGATTGAGGCTCTTCGTCAGAAGTGTGACTCCTTGGAGTCAGAACTCTCTACCGGCACTGGAAAGATCAACGGACTCCAGGAGGAGATCCAGAGCAAGCGAACTGAGGTCGAGGCACTTCACCATAGTCTTCGCGATGTCGAAGATTACTACAAGCAGGAGGGAGCCCAAAAAGATAACAAGCTCAAAGCTCTGGAGCAGAAGGTCGCTGAGACTACCCGTCTTCTCGAGGAACACACCTCGAAGGCCGCTGGTGCGTCTGATAAGCACTCCCAGGATTTGGAAGACTTGAAGACCCAGCATGCTACCCAGCTCTCCCAGGCCATCGAAGAACTGAAGGCTCAACATGCAATCCAGCTCGCATCGGAGCTGGAACAGGCGAAGGAGGCATCGGGCTCTCACAAAACTGCCCTTGGTGATCTTCAGTCGCAACACGATGAGCTCCTTGCCAAGAGCAAGGAATTGGAGTCGACTCACTCTACTCGGGTTCAGTCTCTAGAGGCTGAGCTGAAGTCCGCGCTGGAAGCTCACGCAGGTGAAATTGCTGCCCAGGCCGAACAACGCGAGAAGGCAATTGCCGAACTTCAGAAGCAGTTTGAGGAGACCCAGACTAAGTTGCAGGCTGAAATCGCTACCCTGCAGAGCTCTAGCAAGACCGACGCTGAGGTCCACGAGAAGCAGGTCGCTGAATTGCAGAATGACTTCGAAGAAACCAAGGCTAAGCTGCAGGCTGAAATTGAGGCCTCCAAGGCCTCCAAGTCCGCCGACGCCGAAGCCGAGCATGGCAAGGCCATCGAGCAACTTCTCACCATGCATGAGTCTAAGCTGTCCGGTCTAAAGGAGGAGCTTGAGGCTTCGAACAAGGCCAAGCTGGACGACCTCCAGAAGTCGCACGATGTGGCCCTGGCTGATGTAAACGCCCAGCTGTCGCAGGCCAAGGCTGCTGTTCAGGACACCTCGGTTGTGGATGCCTTGAAGGCTACCATCGCTGACCTGGAGGGCAAAATTGCTGACTTCGAGAAGGCTCACGTTGCAGTCCAAGAGTCTGCTGCTTCTGCTTCCAAGGAAATTGAGGCTCGTTATGCCGCTGAAATCTCCCAGAGCCAAGCCGCTCATGCTGCGTTGGAAGAGAAGCACCAGGCAGCCGTCGCCCAACTGAGCAGCCTTCAGAAATCGGCTAATGAATCGGAGAGCCAGAAGTCTCACCTCGAATCTCTCATGAAGCAGCTCTCTGAATCCCGCGACCAGCTTCTTACCCTCAAGGCTGATAACGCTACTATCTCCGACTCGTTGCTTGATTGCAAGAACCAGAACAGGACCCTTTCCGAGAAGTTGGCGGCCGGTGAACGCGACCTGAACGACCAGATTGACAAGAACATGGGTCTCCTGAATCAACTTGGCGACGTTGATTCGGCTATCTCTGCCAGTCGGCGACGTGTCCGTGAGCTCGAAACCGAGTTACAGCTTTTGAAGGTTGATGGAGGAGAACGGAGTAGCAACACCTCAGGCTTGGGTGCCAGCCGGTGGGCAACGGCCGATGAGGGTAGCGAAAACGCTGAAGATGGGGGTCCAGCCACAACGGAAGGTGAGGACCTCGGCCCATCCATTGAGGGAACGGTGGGCAAGCCCCGTTTGAAGTCTTCCTACTCATCAGATCTTCCCGCATTCCACCCATTCATATGAAGTCTGAAGACTATAGTATATACAGGAACTAATTTGATATCAATAGATGGCCAGCATCCAGGAACAGCTTAAGCATATCCGAACAGCCAATGAGGACTGGCACGATGAGCATGCCAGGTGAGTCTGTGCTTACCGAGGCTATTCACAACCACATGAGGCTAACCCACATTCCACCCAGACTCGTCGGGGAACTTGCTCAACTCTCCAGGCATGCAACCCCTGCACCTCCCAGCCTCTCGACCACCCCTCGCCCCGAGGCATCAACATCGGCACACAAGTCAGGGAACAATCGCGTCCACACAGAACAACCTTCACAATAGTGCGTTGTTGTTTTCGTGCTGCACATTGACCCCTTCTCTGAGAGCTTAGTCGTGATGCAGCATGACTTTCTTTTGTTGAGACCTGTTTCACTCTCTTCTCTGTGATTCTACTGTATGTAATAGTCTGCGGGTACCTGTCTTACTAGGTCAGGGCTTTCCCGCTATTCTTGTTGAATACCTTTATTTTATTGTTTGTGTACATCTCGTATGCGTATTCAGTTTATCAATACCATGGCAATCGCCGTATAATTCTGTCTAGAGATTTTAAAGAAGTCGAGAAATGATACATTTACTGACAATGATCTCAGTGAAAAGGGGAAATCGACCAAGTTTTGTTATAGCTGTTACAATTCATGTACACTTACCTTGTCCACTTGCCTGCATATTACCTAAAGTATACGCTTGCGTTCATCTCCACAGACCAAATACATACAGGCCTTTCGCTTCATCCTATGAGAAGATAACCGCCTTTCTAGCCCCGTTATTTACGTCAAGTATAACGCTATATGAACAAATCGGGTATCTCGTTTGTGCAATACAGTTCCTCAATCAACGCCTGACCTGAAGTCCCAAAACAAGAGAAAAGAGAGCTGAAAATAGCCTTACTCCGAATCAGAAGCATAGCTAACCAGCACGGGTGTTGCGACTGGGGTAGGTATCTCTTTGGAGGTAATATCCCGTTTCCCACGCATGTCCGCAGAGTGGACGCTGGTAGTATCTGAACGAGGTGTTGGGGTCGAAGGCTCGACAATCTTCCTTTTCTTCCCGGGCTGCCACCCGTTTGGATCATCCGGATCATCCACCAAGAACGGGTCAATAGTAGCGCGCGTATTGCCACTCAACTCACTGCGAAGAGAAGCTTTCCGGGAGGCGACAAGATCAGCCGCCTTAGCCCGTTTAGCAGACCGAGATTTCCTGCCATGAGAATCCGCTTTCTGTGGAAGTTTCGCGACACCTTGCGCAAACATCGGCCGAACACGAGTGGCCCGAGCAGCATGAGCACCAACAGCAGCCCGATCATCCCCAAAATCAACCATCTGAGCTCTCTGTCGATCCGACTCCGTTTCATCCACAAGGTCAATCCCAAGACTCATCTTATCTTTCAAGGCTTCCCGGCCAGCCTCTGCCTTTTCAAGACCCTTGCGCTCCTGCCGGAACGTCCGCCGCAACCGCATCGATTTCTCATACGGATCTTCCCAGTCCCGATTTTGGCGCTGCTGGAGCTCAAGAATGCGAGTAGCCTCCGTCTTCGCACGACGCTTGTCTTCGACTTTTCCCTCGAGTTTCGAAAATGGATCCTTTTCCGCAGGGTCCTGCCCCATGGCGTACGGTTTGATCGCGATTTCACCCGGCTGTAACTCCTTGTCGTCACCGGTATCCCGTTTCTTGCCACCTTCAGTAACGATGTAGGCCGTGTTTTGGGGGTCGGTCTTGATCTCGATCGTCCCACCACAAACAGTATGTTTCATGCGAAAACTGTAGATCGGCGTGGAGTAGTAATTCCCGACCTTTCTCTTCTCCGCGTTGAAGCGCACGCCCTGGCCGATGATCGTTTCGTGTGGTTTGCATGTCGTGCACCAGACTGCGAATGGCATTTCGAAGCGTACGACCAACGCTCCCGGGTGACGCGCCCGAGCTCCAAGAGGATGTTTCTTCGCTAGTTGGTTGCCGGATAGGACTCCTTCTTGGTCTGGTGGGACATACCGTCCCATATCTGTTGCGCGCGCATGTTAGCTATTGCTTTGAGGTTTGGTGGGGAAGGGACGTACTGAAGCCTTGCATCTTGGGCGCTTTGGGGAGGTTTCGCCGGGTTAAGGTGTAGGTGAGGGTAGTCCAGCCAGTCAGGTCTACCCTGGGAATAGATGTTGTGCCAGCTGTTCAGGAAGACAAGTCCCGCGGCCGCGAAGGAGATGTGCAGTTGGTGGAAATGATTCTGGTCGGAGATATCGGCAATAATGTTGCTGACTCATCGTTTCCCCACAGCCTTCCAGGGCTGAGATCTATACAATGAAGTGAAGACTAGGTATAGAGTGTTATAAATAATAAAGAGTGAAGACAAAGAGTGAAGATAAAGAGTGAGTATAAGGAAGTAAGCATAAGGAAGTGACTGTAGGGAAGTGAGGATAAAGAGTGATGATAAAGAGTGAGCATAGAGAAGTGAGCTAAACCACCTAATTTGGGTTATGCGTAGCGGAAGTCCAGTATTTTATTTGGATGATTTAGCAGGGTTATGAAAGCCAAGACCTCTATTTTATGCAAAATTGGGGTTTCATAGGGCCCCAATGGGTACCTAGCGTTGGGTTTTGGAGAAGTCTACACTTATATTGCTACTAAAGGTACTATTAGCGATTGGAAGGCTTATCATAAAGTAGCAGTCCGCGTTATATCGCGTAGTCGAGGTAGGGAACGAACGAAAGATAGAAAAAAAAGGCAACGCAGGTTAAAAGAAGCGTATTTCACGGCGTAAGTAAAGATCAAGGGCGAATTATCTAGCGAGGAGCGTAAGCGCCGGCGAAACAGGGCGGCAGAGAGGAGAGCAGCACAAAAGAGACGTTAAGTAGAAGTAGCAAATAAAGGGCAAAAACGTCCAAAGGCAAACATACACAGTTGATATTCGGGGTTTTCTTTTAATTTTGAGCTGTCATAGTAGGCAAAATATGGTAGAGAATGCTTCGATTTGAGATTAGATGTATTACATTTTGAATCGTTACTCAGAGCTAAAACTTGGGCACAATCTATGCTAAGGTAGGAGAGAACTGCAGCAGATAGAAGCCTCAAAGGGCATGTTACCTCGTACAGGCTGCATATGCGTAGGATGACTGCATCAGGCAGCGTAGTTAAGAGATGTCTGTTGGGTCAACGTGCGGGAAAAACAAGACAGCATATATCTCAAAGGCTTCGAATTCAAAGTGCATATATAGGTGTCCTTGGCAGACTCTACTTCGAATCGCTTCATCACGAGCACTCAGAAGCGTTTGAAGCACATTGCGCAACCAAAGCTTAAGGTTCGCGAGGGCTCGAACTGGGAGTGAATGGAAAGTTGCTAGAGCCATGTTGGCTTCGTCTCGCACGTACATCAATCGCACCAAGATCGAGATCAGAATCACAACAATCACTGAAATCATATCAGAGCTCTGAATAGTCCGCTTGCATTGTTTCCAGTTCATTTGATGATCGGAATCTCGAGTCTTGTTGATTGAGACATCCTGGTCCTCCAGGCCTGCCCATGTTGTTTACCTGGCCACCCATCCTTTCGTCTCACCCTTCACCCTTCAACCATCCTTCATCCTTCAAACTTCAAACTTCAACCTTCGTCCTTCAAAATTCGTCCATCATCCATCATCCATCATCCATAATCCTTCATCCATCCCTCTCTCTTATCTTCAACCCACCTTCAAGCTTTGCCGCCACGAGATTTAATCGGTCTTTAGGCTGCTTGACCATCAAAGAGCTCTGTTGGCATGACCTGGACGGTATGTGACTCATCTGCTAATACTAGGAAGTTTCTCAAATTCGATTCTGATATATCTCTGATTAACACAGAAGAAGTGACGAAGATGTCACAAAACCTGCCCTTGCAGATGGCATCGGCAGATGCCACAACCACGACAGAGGGCTCTCAAGGCAAAGGCGTCGAAGGCATCCTGACAGATCCAGAACCTGCTCTCCGTGAATGGCGAACTACACCTGAAGAAGAGTTAATGGCTCAGAATGACCGCCTCATGGCCATTAGTATGACCAGGGCGGTACAACACGACGGCGCCACAATTGCACTCATTCTCCAACAGGAGAATCGAGCAGCGGCAGATCGGGCATTTGCCATGGGCTTGGACCCAACACACTATGCGCAGAATACCCGTCAAGCAAATCACGAAGCCATTCAAAGGGCCTTTGACTTTCTAGAGGGGGAGGAAATGGACTTTGAATACACAGAATCTCATGCCGCAGGTACACCAGCTGACGCAGACCCGAGCGAGTCCCCAAAAGACGCTGCGAAAACACAGCCATCTGTCCCGACTATTCGCAAGTGTGTGGCGTGCATGGAGTCTTTCTGTCACGATATTATCGAAGCGCCATGTTCTGACTTTTATTGTAAGGAATGTATCCTTCGTCTGTTCAATGATTCGTTTGTCGATCAGTCTGTATTTCCCCCTCGTTGCTGTGGAGTGCCAATCCCCCCTTCCAGTGTGCACCAATTCATCGGAGCTGGACTCGCTCGGCAATACGAGGAAAAGGTCATTGAGCAAAATGACCCATTCAGAACCTATTGTTCAGATCGCTCTTGTTCTCAATATATCGTCCCAGAGCGTGTTAACGGGTACATTGGCCGATGCATCTGTGATCGCGCGACTTGCACTTTGTGCAAGCAAATGGCACACAGGGGTGTTCCATGCCCCGAGGACCCAGGCGGAATCCAGGAGCTCTCAAAAGAGCAAGGATGGCAAAAATGTACCAACTGCGGCGCTGTCGTTCAGTTAGCATCTGGGTGCAATCATATTTCGTGAGTAGCATATCAGAAACATTTTTTACACTGCTTGATGTTAACATGTCTGCTTTACTCTAGATGCCGATGCGGTTTTGCATTTTGCTACGTTTGCGCATTACAGTGGAAGACTTGCCAATGTGCGGCATGGGATGAAAGGACGCTCCTCGCACAAGCCCAGGAAATAGCTGCGCGCAATGGAGCCGGTGCTCCGGCCCCTGAAGCTGTGGGGAATATAGTCGCCCAGCTTAGGGTACAACAAGAGTGCGACCACGAGGATGACTGGAGTAGGATTGAGGGCGAGCACAACTGTGACGAATGTGGCGAACATATGTCACGTTTTATCCTCCAATGTCCTGGATGCAATATGAGAGCATGCCAAGGATGCCTCGAAGGAATCCGACAAGATCAAGACTGTGCCCATGGCGGTCTTTGGAGAAGGATCGAGGGACAGCACGAATGCGAGGAATGCGAACAGAAGATGGCACATTTCATCCTTGAATGTCCTGGGTGCGCGATGTGGGCGTGTCAAACCTGCGTTGTAAAACTCAAGGACGAGGAGTGAGACCACAAAGGTACCTGGAAAAGAATCGATGGTGTGCACACTTGTGACGACTGCGGTGTCCAAATGGAAACTTTCGTCCTCGAATGCCGTGGGTGTGGCATGAGGGCATGTGAGCTTTGCCGGTGCGATCGTCTGTAGACGACACTGGTCGGCTGGTATGAACTATGAAACCTTCTATTGTACCATGTATGAATTAGTCGGCTTTCTTTAACTCCGGCATTCGAGTGATCGATGTTGTGAACGCCTATTAAGGGTCCTTGATGTATGTTTGACACTGTTATATTCGAGCTTCGAGATATTTCAATTGATTGGGCATGTGGCCATTCTTTCAGCCCCCCTTTTCAGAAGAGTAAGATATCTGGTACAGGAAGTACCATTCGTGCATATCAATAATCCAACCAAACAGTATGACGGTGGTAAATAAACGACAAGAATGGAAATGACGTTGTTGTGATGGCTTCTTTCGGAGACAACATTACATTTGCCCATGATGTTGGCCATTTAGACCGAGTGATACCTTAGAATAGGTCGAAAGACTCCCAGGTGTAATTCGAGAAGGATAAGTTATTTATACATTCCAGAGGAATCTTCCGCAAAGTTCTTTGACAAGCGGCCTTAAGGCCCAGGCTACCTAGATATGCACGTAAAGTTTGTTATGAAATTTGAACTCATCAGTTCTCCTCTTGTAAACAACTCAAGTTTTCTTCAAATCGTTTCCCGCCTCCAACACCTGCTTGCCAATCCTCTTGCTGGACACCGAAGTGCCGCCACTTGGCAACCGATGCAGAGGTGGGATTTGAACAAAGATACCAAAATGACTCAGGGTACCGACACACTTCGCTAAGGGAAACCTTAAAGAATATGCACAGAGCCATGAGGGTTTGATACTAACAGAGACGTACCCAGAGGTTGGAATTCATGGGCAAAGATCCGAGCCTGAGAAGCAGAGTCTCCCGCAGACCAGCAAATCCATTTTCGCGAGCCTTAAAGGCGATCTACAGACAGCTTTAAGATTCCAAGCCCGGAAAAAGAGACCCGAACACACAGCAGCCTCAGCCAGGGGTCAGGAGGTACTCACTGGTGCCAGTGCCAGCGCCAGTGCCAGTGATCCCACAGATTTGTCTAATACAGACGACCCATCATTCACAAATGGCTCTTCTTTGAAGGAGATACCACCGACTGAATCCTCTGTACGCCCGCAGAACGCTCCATGCTTTGGTCTTCTACAGGTTGCCATAGACACAGACAGGTTCGCTGTACCCATGACTGTGAGATGCGTATCCTGTTTCGATGAATTCTGCTTCACCGAGATGACCAAAGTGCAATGCTCTCACAGCTATTGCAACGCTTGTTTGACTCATATGTTTCGATACTCTGTGGTGGTAGAGTCTTTGTTTCCCCCTCGATGTTGCCGCCTCCCTATCCCAGTCGAGCAAGTCCAGAGCGTGATAGGGCCCGATCTCACGAAACTGCACAGGGAGAAAGCAATCGAGCTCAATGATTCCAATCGCACGTATTGCTCGAACCGAAGATGTCTGCGGTACATTTTGCCATACTGTATCTCGAGCGCCGTTGCCATATGCCAATCTTGTTCCTTTCTTACATGCGCTGTGTGCAAAAGGCCCCAGCATACTGGTGAATGCCGGGATGTGAATGAAGAGCTGTTGCTGGGCCTGGCGAAGAAACAGAAATGGCAACGATGCCCATCATGCCATTTGCTTGTGGAACTGTTGGAAGGATGTCCTGCAATACGGTTTGTCACCAGGATGAGTTTGATTCCTCGGACTTCGAGCTGACATAGGATCAAGATGCGTGTGTTTTACCATATTTTGTTACACTTGTGGTGCGAAGGCTGGCCGTTGCTCCTGCGTAGGAATGCACACATAAGCCTCAGGAGGCTAAAGCAGCCATTTTATTTCCTTTGGAATGGAGTGCAGTAAATTGCTTTTCAAGGAAGGTATCAAGGCCAATACAGTCAATTGATGAATCGAAGATATGGCATATCAAATTGCTGTTGTACTTGATAGGCGCAAGGACACAAAGAGAGAAGAGGGGTGAATGAAATTTGTATGGGAAAAGCTGAGACTAAGAGTACATGTACGCTGATATTGAGGCGAAACACTCCATTTTTTACGTTCAAGTGAAGCTATGAAGTCGCTAAAATAGTATTACATTCCTGTTTTGAGTTTGAGCCCAGTGTTGTAAATGCGCGCCACGACAACCAATGTAGTCCCAACAAGCAAAATAACAGTAGCAAAACACTGGGCATGCAAGTAACTGCCGCTAAGTCTGTATCAATGCTCCTGCAATTGGCGATCCCGTGAGGGCTGCAAAGCTGATACTTAATACCATTCCAGTTCGAACAGCAATCTTTTCCAAGTCCATTGTTAACGATGTTAGACTGGCGGGAAACAAGGATTGCAGACTAGCCGAGAATCCGCCGTAAAACACTTCGAATACATACAAACCGCTCAATCCGGTAACGCCAATCCTGGTAAACAGCATAATCGATGAAACCAGGGCAAACGAAATGAGAAGATTATCGGGCCAGTATATCGGTGAGCAAGAATATCCGGTAGGATTATTGCTGGGAAGCTGACACCGATCATTATCAGTATCAAACTGATAGAGGTAGACTGTTTCGACGCTAACGATATCCCTGGCAAAGCTACCAACGGGAGGGGTGACAAGTGCGGGAGTTTTCCGCGAATTTCTAAGCATATACATATAAGCGCGGGAACAACATGCTAAGGCTGACCAACTCAGCATACGGGGTGATTTTTATCACTTATCATGCAAAATGACGTGCCCGAGATGATTACAAGAGGGGGAGTGATTGCGAATCCATCCGACAATGCTAAAGATATATTCAGGTATATAAGGAGGGTACGCCTCCTCGAAAGTTAAACTATTCGACCTTCAATCAAACCAACTTCGATACCAACATTATCAACCCGAGACTTGATCTTGACAAAATGCCTGCTAAAGTTGCTCTCGCCGGTGTAAGTAACCTTTCCCTCTTATCTTTTGTACTCAACTAACATCGACCAGGGAAGCGGCAACCTAGGCCCAGCTGTCCTGAATCAATTGCTAGACGCTGGGTTCGATGTGACAGTTCTGTCTCGTCAAAGCAGTGACAAGACCTTCGACCCAAGAGCCCAAGTCGCAAAGGTCGATTATGAATCTCTTGACTCCCTCAAGAATGCTCTGACTGGCCAGGATGTCGTGGTCAGCACACTTGGTGTGGGTGCAGTGCCACGGGACACCCACCTCCGTCTCATTGACGCCGCTGTCGCCGCTGGAGTAAAGCGGTACATTCCCTCAGAATACGGATGCGACACGACCAATCCCCAGACTGCCAAGCTTCCCGTCTTTGCCGACAAGGTGGCTGTCCAGGAACATCTTAAGAAGGCCAATAAGGAATCTGGTCTGAGTTACTCGCTCCTCATCACTGGCCCCTTCCTTGACTGGGGTCTCAAAGTGGGATTCTTGCTCAACCTTTCCGGCCCTGTTGTAACATTGTATGATGGCGGCGAGCGAAAATTCAATGTCACCACTCTCGCCGATGTTGGTCGCGGAATTGCTGGAATCATCAACAATCTCCCGGAAACCGAGAACAAAACAGTTTACGTCAGCTCGACCTCTGTGTCCCAGAAACAGCTGTTGGCCTTGTCGGGCAAGAGTCTTGAGACGAAGACCGTTCCGGCCATTGATTTGGAAAAGGATGCGTTTGCGGAGTTGAGCAAGCCGGCTCCTAACCCAGGCGTCTTTGCCCCCCTTTTCATTCAGCGGGCGATCTTTGGAGAAGGTTTCGGAAGCCAGTTCGATTCCGGAAAGCTGTTTAACGAGTCGTTTGGTTTGAAGACTGTGTCTGACGACCAAATTCGGGGCTTCTTCAACTGAGCTATTTGTCAATAAATTAAGGATAGCCAATATTTAGGATATAGATACGTATGGTATCACAATTATATTATATCAAGGATACCTCGTATTCCACGCGCTGTAGTTACTAGGAGTTGCAAAATGTCATCGATTGTTTACCTGTGGTGACGTCTCACATCCAAATTCCCCGATCTCGATCTCGATCTGAGCCCCTTGCATAACTCTATTTACACTTCTTAACAAGAGGACCCCAATGTAATTTGCCGATCCCTGAATTATTGTCAAAGAGGAAGCTGTTGTGAAGATTGACTCGGATATCAGTCGCCAAACTACAAGATGAAAGGAGGAAATGCATCAAACCCCGTAGTCCTCTGCTGGCACAGAACGATTTGCGACTTCATGATTCTCCAGCTTTACACGCAGCGTTGGCAACCCCAGTCCACGACGCTATTATCCCCTCACCTCCACTTCGACTCGCTGTCAATACGCCAATTCTGGCAGAAAGTTCAAGGGGTTCTCATCAAAAGAAGGAAAGAGAAGAAGCCAAACTCATCTGTTCCAACCAGCTTGGTGGGTCAGCTTCTATTCCGGGACATGTATATGGCAGCTTAAGCAGCGCTTGGTCACAAATTTGATCGGACCCATGGAAATCAAGTTGCTCGTTTCATCGATTGGAACCTTAAGACGAACCCTGTCAAGAAGGATGAATCAATCGACGGGGCCTATGAAGTGGACTCACAGGACGCAGAGGAATGGTTTCAGCGGTGGAAGGAAGGCCGTACGGGATTCCCATGGATCGATGCCCTGATGCGCCAATTGAAACAAGAAGGCTGGGTTCATCACCCGGGAAGACACAGCGTTGCCTGCTTTCTGACTCGAGGCGGGTGCTATCTAAGCTGGGAACGTGGAGCCGAAGTTTTCGAAGAGATGTTGATTGATCGTGAGTTTCTCAAAGCCGATACTGCTATCAGTCGCTATGTCCTAGATGAAACTGCATCCAACGTGGAAAACTCGATGTGGTTGTCCTGTACGGCTTTCTATAGTCAATACTACAAGTGTTACTCGCCTATATCATTTGGAAAGAAGTAGGATCCAGAGGGGCATTTGATCAGAAGATACTGCCCCGAGCTGGCCAAGCTCGACAAGAAATGGATTTATGAGCCGTGGCGCGCGCCCATCGCGGACCAGAAGAAGTTTGGCTGCCGGGTGACGGGGGATGGTAGTTCATCGTCGAAAGAAGATGGTACTGAGCATACATATCCCAGACCAATGTTCGATTTCGATGAGTGGCGGCAAGTTTGCCTAGGTGGTATGAAACATGCATTATGGGGTTGGATTTTATGGCAATGATGAGAAGGTCAAGAATGGAACTTGGAAAAAGGAATTTGGTAAAGGGGACAGGCCAGCAAAAAGACATAAAATCTAAGATGACTCTGATTGAACAAGGGCAATGTTAAAAGGACCCCCTCTTGTAGATATTCGGACCCCCTCTCCACCTGCCTAAGCCTAATTAAGGAAGGCGTAGTATGTGTATTTCATAGTGTATTTCCTTAGTAAAAATGAACAAAAGGGCATAGAGGGAGACAATAGGCCTCGTAGGGTGTGTGAAGACTTGTACCTAGCTTAATACGTATACTAACTAGGCCAAAAAGACCACTCTGTTAGCCTAAGGGCTGACATGCCTAGGACCGATATATATACTACTTAGTACGCACAATTATACGCGTGCGTACCCTAGATGCCAGGCCGTGATAGTTAAATCTTAGCTTCTATAAAAAGCACTCACTAAAGCAAAAACGTTTAGAAAGTAAGATGATATAGACTTACTCTTCGGTTTACGATAGGGGGTCTAAAAAGAGGTCTAAAAAACGGTCTAAAAAACGGTCTGTCCAATAGTGTTAAAACATCTGCTGTGTCACTGTACTAAAAAAGACACCGTTAAATACACATACTACGCCTTCCCTAATTACGCTTAGACAGGTGAAGAGGGGGTCCGAATATCAACAAGAGGGGGTCCTTTTAACATTGCCCTTGAACAAATGGGACCTTGTAACGGCTAAATGGGCATTAACGGTTTTGCAAAAACAACGAGCAAATATCAAACGCAAAGCATAGAACGTCACCTCGTGCTCTTGAGTCAACATGATCTAAGATTTTCGTCCCGATGAATGAGATCAGCACCGCACGTGGTGGATATATTGCTACAGGTGAGTATGAGGTGCAGGGGTCATAACTGGCAGATATCGCCGCGTCGGGTCTACTTTCTCCCTATTCAATGCAGTCTCTACACATGGATAAATTGCAAGCAAAGTGACTCATTTATATACGGGACTCGGCGCGGAACTCAACCCGAAGCCCCACTATAACAAGGCGGGGCCCGGGATGAAGAAAAATATTTTCAAGACTTCGAACTATTTTATATTGCAAATATCTTGACTATCGCTTGCTGAAGTTATCAAAATGGAGTTCCAAGATGCTCCCCCGCCCCAGGGACAAAGCAGAATCCGAATCGTCACGGTAATGATAGCGCTGGCGCTGTCTATGTTCGTGGCGGCACTCGATCAAACAATTGTTTCAACAGCTATTCCAACAATTGCCGCTCATTTCCACTCAGCTGCTGGATATACGTGGATTGGTGGTGCATATCTTCTTGCGAATGCTGCCGGTGCATGCATTTGGGCCAAGCTTTCCGATATCTGGGGCCGGAAACCTATCTTGCTCTTGGCTGTTGGGTGGTTCTTTATTAGTTCGATTATTTGCGCCACTGCTGTTAATATGGAGATGCTTATTGCTGGTCGTGCCTTGCAAGGTGTGGCAGGTGGTGGTTTGCTCCAGCTCGTCACTATTATCATTTCTGATCTTTTCAGCGTGAGGTGAGATACTAATACAGTATTCCCGTTTGACGGTCTAATGCTAATTATTGAGATAGACACCGCAGTCTGTATCTTGGTCTCATGGAAGTGATGTGGGCTTTTGCTGGAGGTATCGGTCCAATTCTTGGCGGTGCTTTCTCTCAATACACCGGCTGGAGATGGACATTTTGGATCAATCTGCCTGTTTCTGGTATTACCTTCGTTCTGCTGTTCTTCTTTTTGGATGTGCACAATCCCAAAACGAAGATCATGGATGGTATCCGGGCGATTGACTGGTTTGGCAGTCTTTCAGTCTTGGGTCTCACCCTGATGCTGTTGTTAGGGCTGGATTTTGGAGGAGAAACATTCGCCTGGAAATCCCCGCAGGTCATTTGCCTGATCATTTTTGGATCTTTGTGTTCCTTGCTGTTTGTTTACAGCGAAAAGAAGCTTGCAAAGTATCCTCTAATGCCGTTGGACATATTTGCTCGTCTATCAAACGTTGCTACGCTTGCAGTGGCTTTCGCGCACGGATTCGTAAGTTCTTTCTTCCTTACTATTCGCACCAAAACTAACCAGTTATAGGTCTTCATTGCTGGTGAATACTACATTCCCCTTTACCTGCAGTCAGTGCACCAGGCATCCCCGATGCGATCAGGTGTCCTGATCCTCCCTCTCGTCATCACCGAGGCCTGTGGAGGTATGCTCTGCGGTGCCATTATCCATCGCACTGGCCGATACCTTGAGCTAATCTGGGTCGGTCTTGTGCTTCTGACAATCGGAAACGGGCTATACATCAACCTCGACGTCACATCCTCCATCGGAGAGATCGTGGGCTACCAAATTCTCAGCGGCTTTGGTGCTGGTTTCCTCTTCCAAACACCCATCATCGCTATCCAAGCTATGGTCTCCCAAGAGGACACTGCTACCGCTACAGCTACGCTTGGATTCATTCGTAATATGGCAACTGCCTGCTCCATTGTTATCGGCGGTGTCGTCTTCCAGAATAGCATGGGTGAACAGCAGTCGAACCTTTTGGCTTCTGGTATGTCCGAATCGATGGCAAACAGGATGTCTGGAGATGCTGCCGCTGCAAGTATTGAATATATCAAGGATATCACGGATCCCGCGCAGCTACTTGCTGTGAAGGAGGCCTTTGCTTGGAGTTTGCGCAACATGTGGATTCTGTATACGTGCATGTCTGTTGTTGGTGTTTTCTGCTCTGCTTTCATTCTTAAGGCTAAGTTGAGCAAGGAGCATGTGGAGACCAAGACGGGGTTGAACATTGAGAAGGCGCCTGCTGAGAATGTACATAGTGTCTAGGATCTTTACTAAGAGCACGTACCTTGCTCAGGCAATTTTGAAATAGCACTTATCTGTTGGTTTCAATGTGGCTACCATTCATAGCTAGCAGTATCACGAATGACACGACAGCATCTTATATAATGATCATTACAGCACGCTAACGGAACTATCCAAGTTTATTTGTATTCAAGGTGACAAGTGTTTGTTTGTGACCACTATCACTTTCTAACTGAATGCGAAATGGGGTAGATAACGTCGGAGAGCCAAGAGACGTAGCTCAGTACTCAAGAGTTTGTTTGATAGCGTCGTAGATCCCTAATACCGAAGTTCCACGGATTAGCAGACGACAAAAATGCAAAATGATGTAGATAACTCACTTGCAACATCAGGCAGAATAAATTGCTCGTAACTCAAACCCGTGTGCGTACTCCAACCCGCAACGCGCTTGACAGGGGCCTCTAGACGCAGGAAAGCACCCTCCTGGATGGTAGATGCAACCTCCGCACCCACACCATAATTGATCATGCTTTCATGGACAACAATAGCTCTCCCTGTCTTTCGTACGCTCTCCAGGACTGTTTGACGATCCCAGGGATAAATGGTACGCAAATCAATAAGCTCCACGCTGACGCCTGGCATGGTTTTTTCGATGGCCGAGATAGCAGAAGAGCACATGTAGAGAGGCTGTCCGTAGGAAATGATTGTCAAATCCTTGCCAGGTTTGATGACTTCAGCTTTACTGAGCGGGATAGTGTAGTATTCGTTCGGGACATGTTCCACGGCTGCGCGGTAGAGAATCTTAGGCTCCATGAATATCACCGGATCGTTATGCTCGAAGATGGACGCCAATAGGAGGCCCTTTGCCTGTGATGGAGATCGTGGCATGACTACCCGCACACCAGGAACATGTGCAAATAGGGACTCGGGAGACTGTGAGTGGTACCTATCGTTTTGGACGATTAGCATGAAGGTCTACTTGACACCCGTTATGTATAACCCACAAGGCACCGTGACCAACCGCACCACAGGGCATACGGATCACCAGTCCACCAACATTGATCCCCGTCCCACCTTCACGATATCTGAACTTGGCTGCCTCGTTGACAATTTGATCGAATGCTGGGAAGACGTAGTCGGCAAATTGGATCTCTGCTACCGGCTTCATCCCTTCCGCGGCAGCTCCAATTGCAAATCCCGCAATACCTTGTTCCGTCAAGGGCGTATTAAACACTCGATCTGACCCAAACTCTGTTTGAAGATCCATTGAGCACCGAAAGACACCACCGAATGCAACATCCTCGCCGAAGAGAAGCACTTTTTCCGATGTAGACAGGGCGGTTCGTAAAGCAGAGTTGATGGCTTGGAAGTAATTTAGTCGCTTAGTTGTAGCCGCAGCAGGGTATTCTGATGTATTGGACAGTGAAGACGATGTATGATGCAAAATGGGAGTGGTTTTATAGTCAATAGGCAAGTTCAGCTTCGCGGATGGTGTAGGTGCGCCAGAGTAGAACCGCCGAGGCGTTTGGGCGAGACACCGCAATGGAGCGCGGAGAGGTGCCATCTCTGGGAATTTGGACGAAGTGAGAGAGGATATGTGTGAAGCTACATGGCAGAAATCCCCTCCAGGGGTGTCTTTAAACTATGTTGGTTGCATTGCCCGGGGCAGAGCGCGGGGAAGTCGCCGCGGGTAGCCGAGCGGTACGCAAACAGGACAAACACAAAAACACCCTATGACGATATCCCCGTGACCTGGAAGTATAGGATTGCTGCCCTACATGATAACCCCCAGGCACTCGGACATAAGCAAAAAAAGAGGCGAAAAAGAGGGGCCAAAGTAGGATGGGAACAATGCATGAAACGGTATACTCGCTTTGAGGCTTTCGTGTAAAGACTGCCTAATACTTCACCAATGATACTATATACACACTTGTGATCCCCACCCTGTACCCTTGGGTGTCTAGGTGTGAACAGTGGATCTTGCTGCATGTTATGCTTGTTTGCTGTATGGAATTGACCCGATTCGAGAGTATTGGTTCCTTGATTTGGGATGAGCTATGCAGGAATGTTCTTATATTTAGATCGGGTTTGTAGCTAGTGAGCATAGGTATACATAGCCCAATTGCTCTCTTAACTCTGCACTACATTCCCCTATCTCAATTTGCACTCAATTGACTGTATATTCCACTTATATAGTTCTGTTTACAGAGTGATTGGAGGGGGATCGACTTTATCTCTTATCAGCCGGTGTCGGACCGCGTGACTTTCCCCGGCCCGCACCAAAACCGCATTTTTTCGAATGACTCAACCTTCTTCCTGTTACTCCACGTTCAACTTTCGATCCCATTTCATTCCATCAATCACTCACAATGGCTCAGGGAAAGGTATGATCTTTTGGTTTAGCTTCACGCTTTGCGCGATTCTCTCTTCCAATTCCATCTCACACCGCTCCCTCTCCCCCGCCACACTTTCAATTGCCTGCCATGCTTCCTGGATTACTGACAATACGATTGCGCAGGTTTGCCTCGCCTACTCCGGCGGTCTCGACACCAGCTGCATCTGTATGGACATCTTGGGTTACTTAATTGACCAATTGCGGTTACTGATACCAAAATACAGTGAAGTACCTCATTGAGGAGGGCTATGAAGTCGTCTGTTTCAGTGAGTCGCCAATGTGATACATCTAATGACTCAATTGCTAACCTCAACACAGTGGCCGATGTTGGCCAGGAAGGTAATTAACAACCAACGTGACATCAATCCGACAAAGATCTAACCTACAACAATTTTAGAGGACTTCGAGGCTGCCCGCGAGAAGGCCCTGAAGATCGGTGCCCTCAAGTGCGAGATTGTCGACATCCGCCGTGAGTTCATCGAGGAGCTCTGCTTCCCCGCCATTGCTTGCAACGCCGTCTATGAGAACGTCTACCTTCTCGGTACCTCCCTGGCTCGTCCCGTCATTGCCCGCGCCCAGATTGAGGTCGCCCAGCGCGAGGGCTGCTTCGCCGTCTCCCACGGCTGCACTGGTAAGGGTAACGACCAGGTCCGCTTCGAGCTTGCCTTCTACGCTCTCCAGCCCGACATCAAGGTCATTGCCCCATGGCGCGAACCCGTCTTCTACGAGCGCTTCAAGGGCCGTCAGGACCTGCTCGACTACGCTGAGCAGAAGGGTATCCCCGTCACCTCCACCAAGTCGAAGCCCTGGAGTATGGATGAGAACCTGGCCCACTGCTCCTACGAGGCCGGTATCTTGGAGGACCCCGACACCACCCCTCCCGCCGACATGTGGAAGCTCACCCAGGACCCTCTGTCCGCTCCCGACCAGCCTGAGGACTTCACCCTGACCTTCGAGAAGGGTGTTCCCGTCAAGCTTGAGTACACCCAGGGTGGCCAGAAGAAGACCGCCACCGATTCCGTTGAGCTGTTCCTGACTGCCAACGCCATTGCCCGCCGTCACGGTGTTGGCCGTATCGACATTGTAAGCTTCATGGTATACAGCGTGGTTTCAACGTCGCTGACCCCAGATAGGTCGAGAACCGTTTCATCGGTATCAAGTCCCGTGGCTGCTACGAGACCCCCGGTCTCACCTGCCTGCGCTCCGCCCACATGTAAGTGACTTGGTTTGCAAGTTGTTCGACTCAACTAACATATTCCAGTGACCTTGAGGGTCTGACCATGGACCGTGAGGTCCGCGCTCTGCGTGACTCCTTCATCACCTACAACTACTCCAAGGTAAGCAACACATAACCATTCCATCAGCTTCGATCTAACAATTTCCAGCTCCTGTACAACGGCATGTACTTCTCCCCCGAGCGTGAGTTCCTCGAGTCCTCCATCACCGCTTCCCAGAAGTCCGTGAACGGCCAGGTCCGCTGCCGCGCCTACAAGGGCACCATGTCCGTTCTCGGCCGCTCCTCCGAGACCGAGAAGCTCTACGACATGAGCGAGTCCAGCATGGACGAGATTGGTGACTTCTCCCCTGCCGAGACTACTGGATTCATCAACGTCTCCGCCATCCGTCTCAAGAAGTACGGCCAGATGAAGGCCGCCGCTGGCGAACGTCTGTAAACGATGTCTAAAAGAATATAAGACACGCCTTCTCTTCGACTTGGAATGACTGGAGTGCCATATGTTGACCGTCCCTGGCTTCCCGCCATGTCGAGTCTCTCTGGTCCAATGTTCCATGCGTATCATGGGATGGTGGCTTGAATGACTGTATAATGAACTAGAGAAAAATAGCGCCGTCCCGGAACTGAAATTTAGGAATTAAAATTGCGAGTGAATCAAATTCTTATGTCCACTGTAGAAGTAGAAAGATCTCCAAGATCAATGCAGTATGTACATTTGTAAAAGATATGTGCGAAGGTATATGCCGAAAGGTAAGTCGCTAGATGGCAGTCGAAGAGAAAACAAGTGTTGAATGCATGTTATCGACGGTATTCAAAGATTCGCCCGGCTCTTGCCTTGGTCGAGTTCTGCCCACAGGTTAACACAGGGATATCCCTAGGGAGAGGGACGCATCATACCATCCCAAGTAGCCAAAGCCGCCTTCTCAGCATCCCAAGCCCAAAGGAACTCCTGTGTGCTACGATCCGACCATTTATCGGGATTCTCGCCACTGGCCGAAGCGAGGAACTGCGCATCGCGGGAGACCTGTTCAGGCCCATCTGGTAAGTGTAACGTGATACGATTCTCCGAGCCAGACTGCTGCACCGTCTCGGCGCGCTGCTTTCGGGATCTTTCATATGCACTCAGTGCTAGGGGAATTTCCGCTCGCGACGTGATGTTCGAGAGAAGGACGCCCAGAGCAGCTGCGTCTTCGACGGCTTGGGCGGCGCCTTGGGCGACATATGGCCTGCGAGTGTCAGATAAACGAACAACAGCGGCGAAAGCAGTTCACTTACAGCATTGGGTGGCAAGCATCACCGATCAACGCGACCGATCCTCGGATCCACGTTCTCAATGGCCGATGCAGACACAACTTCCACTCCAAGACCTCATTGTCATCAACCAGGTCAATAAGCTTCCGCACCGTACTATCCCAGCCGTCATAGTTATCAACCATAGCCTGCTTCGAACCCTTAGTAGTCCAAGACTCCTCAGAGCCCTGTACATCAGGATGCAGCAGAACAACATTGTACAGCTGGTGACTGCGAACTGGGTACGCAATAATATGGCGCGAAGGACCAAGCCAACGCGTCGCCTCAGGCTGGTCAATAAGTTCCTTCAATTCCGGATCTTTCTCCATAATCTCCCTGGGCAGCATAATACGATATGCAGCATCGCCAGTAGGAATGGCTTTAAGCGATGAATCCTCCAGAAGGCGGCTCCGGATCGTAGATTTGATACCATCAGCACCGACGACAATATCGCCACGAACAACGGTGCCATTGGCTAGCGTCACGCTTGCCGGGTCGAATTGCACATCTGTTACTGGTGAATTCACACGCAGCTCGACATTTGGCAGAGCTACTGCTCTGTCGATGATGGCATTGTGCAGATCAGCGCGGTGGATGACTACTTGCTGGCCAAAGGTTTTGTTCACCGGCATTGTGCCGAGGAGTTTGCCATTTTCCCATCTCCGGACGTGGATGTGCTCTAGGGCTACATCCTGGGCGTGGATTAGGTCAGAGACACCCCATCCTGAGTTCGAGGTTAGTTAATTTGGATTTATTTCTACGGCGCGATGGTGACTCACGGTCGAAAAGACGCAACATGTTTGGGGAGACTTGGATGCCTGCTCCGACTTCCATGAGCTGGGATGGGTGTTAACATTGCTGTCTTAGGGGGTTATCAAGTGTGGTGCGCACCTTTGGAGCGGCTTCAAGAACCACGACGTGGTGTCCTCGAAGACCTAATGTGAGGGCTGCTGCCATACCGCCAATTCCTTCAGATTGTCAGTTGGTACATGCATCACGCCACCCTTTTTAATGTCCAAGTCATACCAGCGCTGTACAACATCAGTATCCCGGTCTTGCGTATCCAATAGTGAAAAGAACATACCCGACGACGATCACCTCCAAAGGCAGATTTGCTCGTGGTACATCCATGATGAACAGTCCAAGATGTAAATATGATACAAGATGTTGAAGTGTAATATGAAGAAGCAAAGTGAATCAGCAAAGTGAAGAGAGAATGACAAAACAAAAATGGAAAAAGAAAAAGAAAATTATAGCGGCAAAGCCCAGATGAAGTATGGACTCGACAGCTATTTTCTATTCCGTCCCACCCGTTCCAGAAAGACGATACACGTCGGGATCCGAGGATGTTCCCAAATTCGCTCATTCGTTCATTGCCCAAATCCGCAATTAATTGGCATTTTCCATGTCCGCCCCTTGCCGTTCTAACCTTCTCCGCAGACCGGGGTGAATGGGGAAATCCACCACATTCCTGACCTGTCTCGGCTCTGTCGGTGGCATCGAGGCGGCACTTGGCCACTATTTGCGGGTCCAACGGGCGACAGTGACTAAGCGGAATGCAGTTTATTAGCTGACACCTTGAATTTACTGACCAGTCCACGGCATCAGGACATGATAACGCAGGTCTACATGTCGTACAGCCGTTCAGCTACCGAAAACCTGATTAAAGTGGCTTTGTGGCGGGCGGAAACCCGAAGGTGAGGCGATCGGGGAACGCCAGGCCCACCAGTCATTGAACCCCCCGGCTCTTTGCGGGCTCATCATCTGCCGAACGTCGGTCAGATCTACAGTCCATTGCGTTTTCTCCACGACTGCGCGTCTGCCCCAGACCCATCTTTGATTTCCTCTATGATCCTCTCGGATCATAGAGGCTTGGGTCTGGTGATACAGATCCTCAGCTTCTAGATACTCATCACGGCAAATACCTGGTCTCGTCATTGCCGATAACACTATGTCTAGTCGCTAACTCAATATCGTGGCTTCGTGACTGGCTCGATATTGGGAATTAGACAATTTCTGATTGACCAAATGGGCAGGCTATCAACCGCAGCTTCCGAGAACCCAATCGTACTATATCGTGGTTGATGTGACCAGCTATCACTTCGGGGGGGCATGTTTTATCCCCGGTCCACTTTCTTTTTCCGTCAACATTGTCTACAGAGGCAACCCTTGATATTGAATATGTCTTATACACGAATCACTGGAAATTTTCTTGCTTGCACCAGTGCATGTATCTAGGTCTGGATGACCTACATGTATGTAGGTTCTTGTGTAAGGGATATAAAGCTAGATGTGCCCGTGCGCTTGCTCCACAATGGGTTGCAAGTTGGGCCGATCATCGGCTACAGCTGAGTTCTTTCTTTGCCGGACTGGTAGTTGGACTAACCTCAACGGACATAGATTAGTTTCCAAACAATTGCCAGGGTTCAGCTATCGACATATCAATTCTTGCATATACAATATCCCTACCATACTCTCGCCACCAACCAACCACAACCCTCCACAAATGAGAGCTATCCTATTTCTCTGTCGCATACATAACTTAGTACATGCTCATATATGTGCATCAGCTCATCTGCAAATGATGCAATACCTGCAATATAGCTCCTTCCTCAACAGTCCGAATTCCCGACCTGGAAATGCTGTAACGCTGAAACGCACCAAGTCGCATATGTATTGAGGCCATAGCAGAGCGGAACACGGGATATGCTCCCCGGCTGTCAGTCCACCGGAACAAGCTCTCAACAAAGCACCACTGTCAAACATGAAACAGACCTGAAGTCAAGAATATCCACTGCGACATAGTATCTCCCCTGTCATAACCCAGCACGTCTTTTCGAACCTAGATTGCTCAAGCTGACGCGCAATACTGATGAACGTCCATTGTGCGGAACCCGGCCGCTACAGTACAATATACAATTCCCACCGGAGCATATAGCCTCTCCCAAACAAGGCACTCGAAATAAGAAACTGCTAACTTGGAGTAAGCAATATCATCAACAGTCGAACCACCGTGGATCAGATAACCCATTCATTCCTGGCAGGATGATCTACACAGCCACCCGTCCTGCAGCAGGGTTCTGGTTACTGATCAACCCTAGATCAATTTTATCAGCTCCATCGGTACCCGCTATAAGAGACGGACTAAACTATATGTAGGCACACGGGATGGTTGGGCATTGCTTAGCCAGTTACCTTATAATGATCGGCTTTGATCGACAGGCGCGGCTGGGCGTTGATCGCGAGGAGACTTTTGTTGATGGTGATGGACCTGGATCGGAGATTGGGTTCGTCATTGATTGCTGGTATCCGGGGTGGTTCGATCATTTGGTTGAGGTTTACGGGTATGGAGATGGATCTGGGTACATTACAAGTGCCATGCTAGTTCGAACGTCACTGCTGTTGAGCCAGAGGTATCGCCGTCCACTCCTAGCTGGCTCGTAGAAAACGAAGAAAACAAGATCCGCTAGAGATTTCGATATGGCTGTGCTACCTTTCTCCTATCTCACTTGTTTCGCCTACCTCATTTGCGTAACTTGGTTCGGCTTTGGTATTACAAGTAATACCTTTCTCAAGCACGGTGTAGACAAATGCCCGTCCGAGCTATATGAGACTATGTCTCTCGAGTAATATCTGTTTGGGAAGCATATCAAGAACTATATGCTTGATGCTAGACTTAGTACGTTCTATTTTCGCATCAGTATAATATCAAAAGCACGCTGCAATTCAATGGTCTCGTTAAAATCGAACCTGTAAATAAATTTTATTCTTTAAACACAACCGTCGATCTCACACAGGATCTTCATTGTTGAAAGTATTAAATGCCCGCACTCCTTCGAGCCTTGTAAACTATTGAATTCAAAAACCAGCTGGAGCATTTATACCTGCAGTTAAGCAACACTTGAATGTATGCTTTTAATCAGTGATTATCATCGCTCGATGTTGACAATGTTTGCTTGTCACCCGTGAGCTTGCCGAAGAGAAATACATACACAGCACATGTATCAAGGGTCATTTGTACATCCGTTGGCCCAGGGGCTAAGTCTAACGCCTACGACCGTCTGGAAGGCAAAATGTAGCAAAGTATTATCGCTGTGCTATCTGTTGCTTGATCGGAACGAGATCGCTGTGTACTAGAACTGGATTGTAAACTATCCTGCGGATACTGGCACGTAATAAGAACGTGTTCAGAATTGATACTGTCGCTAATATGAAAGCATAGCAGTATTACCATTACCACGAGTTTTGTTATTAGTAAAAATAAAGGCACATACACAAGGCAACACGTAAAAGAAAGAAAGATCTATTTTTTTTTGTTATAAAAAAGTAGTAGAGTGACTTCCTTGCGGAGCGCATGTATCATGTTCAAGAAGGTAATCGCTAAACGCCATAATATGCCTGAAGAAGCTAAAGTGAATTCCCATAAGTAGTCGTAAGAAACATAGACATAGAAAGGTGAAAGATAGAGACATGAAGGATAGAAGGAAAGAAAAGATGTGGACGCATGTGGTAAAGCGTAGAATCTTTGGTGATCGTAAGGGGCATTGTTGTATCGTGAAAGGCCGTATATGGGATGAAATATGCGGTTCACGTATGATCTGCTTGTATATCCAATAGAAAGACATCAAGGGAGAGGAGTGGATATATGTACAAGTTAAGGATTCTGTCGATGATGAGATGTGTGAAGTTAGGACGTAAACATGAGTCGTAAGCGGCTGGGGCCTTTCTTCTTCTCTTTGGGCTTGGGAAGTTTCTCGCTTTCGGAGATGTAAGTGCCAGCTTTTGATGGTGCGCGACGGGGGGCTTGGCTGGAAGCCCTGCTTGGGGCTTTGGATGGAGCCTTGGACCTGGAAGGTCGGGAAAAGAATCCCGTGGGAGCCTCAGACGGAGGAGCCCTGGAGCGGCGTTCACTGTGCCGCTCTGAAGGGGCATGGGTTGGAGCGCGAGATGATCGGGAACGACGAGAGCGACGGGATGAGGCGACTGAACCATCGTCTTCGAATTTGAAGCGAGGGTCGCGGCGTGCTCGCGCGGTGGTCACGTCAATGCCGGACATGGCTGCGGCAGTTGGTGTGATGAATTCACCGTCGACAGAGGTTCCAAGGCTCTCGGCCTGCACGTCTGCGACACCGCGTCTCCACATATCAACGGAGCTGAGTGCTTGCGTGTTGAGCTCCATCATATCTTCCATTTCCATTTCGGGTTGAGGCTGTTGCGGGTTTGGAGCTTCGGTGTCGTTGCCCTGGATCCTCTTGATGATCCTGTATCCACCGAACATGACGACAGTCACACCCAGACCGACTCCAGCGGCGATGAGGAACTGCGGACTGGAAAGGAGGGCGAAGACAGCAGGGGAGGCTGACTTGAGGGCGGTCAGTGCGGTGGGCGCCATCTTGCGGGCGATGTTACTGATCTCGGCTAGAGTCAGGGCGACTGCAGCCATGGCATCTGGGTTCTTCTGAAGGTGGGCAATAGTAGCAGTAGCACCGTGTTGCACACAGTGTGCCTCCTCTAGGAGCCACTGAGCACGATGAACGAGTCCATCCAGCTCCTTTTGGTCATTGTTTGGTTCCTTGGGTGTGTATCGGGATAATGCTGCAGGAGAAGCATCCCCGTATGCAAGATCCATGTCGATATGCGCATCAGATCTGGACCGAGCCGTTGACGGACGCGGAGCGTCCCGCACTGTGACGTCGTGATGGGTATGACGACGAGCGATTGTCTGTGGGGGGTCATATTGAGAGTCCCGACGAGACACGACCGTCCGTCCATCACCATATTGGGATGGAGCGCGGTTACGACCGCTGTGATGTCTTGATCTGGTGCCACGGCTCCGGCGCGAACCCGCGGCAGACGGCGCATCATCAATCTGATAGCGCTCTAGCTGTTCAAGGACCTGCTGTTCGGCGATTTTGGCATTTCGCTCTGATTGATATGCCGACTTTCGCTCGCGGTAGGCATCCTTGGCATGGTTGAAGACTCCGAACAATTGCTTACTCTGATACCTGTCAGAATGCGGGGGAAACCGGACCGTAGATCAAACTTACCGTGCTCACCATCTTGCCAGATTTGTCAATCACGGCGATCGTTTGACCGAACGGCATGGCGAGTGATGAGTCGTAGCGACGACTATCGGAGAATATCACTCATGAGAGATCGACGATAAGCGGTGTAAGGGTTGAAGACCCTGATTTACTTTGGAGTAACGAAAGAGTCCAGGGTAGAAAAAAAAGTAAGGCACAGGGATTTCACGCTTAATAAGGCAGTTGAGTTTGCAACCCCAGAGATCAACGCAAAAGTCCGATCGGAGGCGTCCAGCGATGTCTTATGGTAGAGTGGAGAGGGAGGCTGGGTATGGCATCAAGGCGCATAAGTTGGGCAGAGCAGCGAACGAGAGAGCATGCAGGCTGTAGGGCAGAGCGTGGTTGGGTGCCACCGGAGGCAGACACGTATCAAAGGTTCGATGAGTTCACATCACATATCACACCCGATAAGTTGGGCGCGAAGACAGCTGATCTGCGGTGTCGGTGTACTGTTGTCCTGTAGATGGTAGAAGAGATTTTGCCGGGATTTTCCAGGGAGCTCCTAGAAATGAAGGAGATATTATCAGCTAAACCAGCCAAAAACAAATTAAACCTGAAGTTTTCATTCGAAGATATCTCGCTATAGAAAGAGCGGTGACCTCTGAGCCCTGATTGGCTGCCTGGGCCACCGCCACTGTGGCTGCCTCAGCCACACGTGGCGGTGCAGCCATGTGTTCGCTGAGGATGAGTAAGTTATGTAGTCTCTTCTCTTCTTCTTTTGATATCTGAGCTACCCCTTGCTATGACCTAAAACACATTCCATGACACTATCTGACCATCAATGGCGCAATCCCTGTGCAACTTGGTCTGAGACACCCCCAAGCCATGTCCTGTAGAGTACATTGATCACAGATGGGCACCTGCAGGCCTTGCTAGTCCAGAATCCAAGCTCCAATGACGAGATCCAGGGGTAAACAACTATGCTACAGTATACTCCGTAGGGTCCGAGAGTTGAGGCCTTATCTCCCCGAGACCTTTTATTAAATAAGCCAGATCATCGGTGAACATGTACCTATACGCGTACCTCTCTGAGATTTGAGAAACATCTTCTCCAACTTCCCACGTTGACTCATCTATAACGAAATATGGTCGTACGTCGACCTAGTACCCCTTTAGCTCGACTATTGTGGGAGCCCAGGTATGTATAGAATTTCTATCTTGAACCTTTTGGAGCCTAAGACCAGCGACCGGAGATGCGAATATGCGAATATGCATAATCCACAAAAGATAAATGCTAACGGATAGACCAAGTTGTTGCCGGAATCAAAGGGATGCCAGGGGTAAGTTCGAATATTTGATCGATGGTGCAATTTGATGTTCTTTTTGTTGTTCCGCACCGCCTCGATGATTCATCCTTTTTTCTTGGTTGGGAACTTCAATGTCTCCAACCTCATTCCTCAGAACATGAATTGAAAGTGCTTAGCGTTCTTCTGTTTGGTTTAATTATTTTTGTGGAGCCCCGAGAACACCAAATCAACACTGACTCATGTGCGCAATGGATCTAGAATCCGTGAGCGCCTCCGCCTCCGACGTCGAGGAAGGCAGAACCTGGGGCTCAGATGCTCGATCGCCAGTGACTCAAACAATCGACGATGCCAGCAGTGCTCATCCCTCGAGAGACTGCGGCATCGGCCATCGCGTTCTGGCGAGTCGCTCCGTTCTCGCTCTGGTCGTCGATGAACATTGTGTGTTTGCTGGTCTTCAGGGAGGAGACATTGTTGTAAGTTGGTGCTTGGACTATATTTTGATGGCTATTTGCTTCAAACTCTCGATTGAATCACTCCGAGTTCTTGTCTGACCGTTCTGCCAGGCGTGGTCCCTTGAAACATATGATCTCGTGCTCTCCGTACACGCACACAAAGAGAGTGTGCTAGGTCTTTATTTGTCCAATGATGGCAACCTTCTATTTTCAAGTGGTGGGGACTCTGTTGTCAATGTAAGTCACTCTGCGAAGCATCTTGCGAATGATATTAATTGTGTCAGGTATGGTCCACAAGGACATTTGAACGTCTCTACTCAATCTATTCCCATCATGATGTGGGCGATATTTTCACAGTGGTTTATTCCTCAAGTAACCAAACTATCTACTGCGGTGCCCAGAACACGAGTATCCAGGTACGCGACCCTGTCTTCTCTCCATGTCAAGCTTCTAACATGGACAGTGGTGTGATCTCTCCGAGGAAGGGTCAACGCTCAACCATGCATCATCTGCCCACCTCACTAAGCGGACACATCGCTTCTTTGATTCCCGTGGGCCAGACGGTACTCAAGCCCCGGGATCATTAGAGGGGTCCCATTTCGTCTCCGATGGTGGTCGCATGTTGAGCTTCAAGCGGGATCATCATAAGCTTTTCGCTCACCATGGCTACGTCTACTCTATGCTTCTCGTCAAGGGACTTGTCGAATCAGCTCCTTCCGAGGAGGTTCTCTTGACTGGTGCAGGTGATGGCGTGGTCAAGCTGTGGCGCCTGGGCCAAGAGCCTGAAGCTTCTCCGTCTCAGATTGCCAAGCTGCAAAACGGTGACCCTGTCCTGTCTGTCGCTGTGGAGGGATCATTGCTCTATTGTGGTTTGGCGGGCGGTGCGTTGAACATTTGGAACTTGGATTCTCAACAGCTTGTCAAGCGGATCACTCGGCATACAGGGGATTTGTGGGCCGTGCACGTCATTCAAGGGATTGCCATCTGTGGTGACTCTAGTGGAACAGTCAAGGTATGAATGGTTGCCTCTTTTGCGATCGATTGCTGATGTCAACCAGAAATTCAACTCGCGATTTGAGGAAGTTGGTGGCTGGGTTGCGCATGAGGGTACTATGCTCGCCTCGGCTACTGGCCGGTTCAAGGACCGCCAGATCTATGCCACTGGTGGAAACGATAACTCCGTTGGTATTTGGGACTTGACTGAATTCTTTATGACTCAAGAAGAGTTACCACCAATCAGCAACGGTATGCCCCAAGAGTACTAACTACTGCTGAACTGCCCTGACTCTTTTTAGATGAAATGGTCAACAGTCTTGCAAAGTTTGTCTCCTACAAGACCATCTCAGCAAGTCCCAAATTTGCCGGCGAATGCAACCAAGGAGCTGCGTTCCTTCGACGCCACTGCAACTATCTCGGTGCCAAGACGAAGCTCTTGACCACTGGAGAGGATACCAACCCCATCGTATTTGCCAGATTCAATGCCACCTCGCCTGACAAGGTGGACAAGACGATTCTTTTCTACGGCCACTACGACGTTGTTGGCGCAGAAACGAACCGACCCAAGTGGAGGACTGATCCGTATCAGCTTACTTCTATCAACGGATTCCTCTATGGTCGTGGTGTCTCTGATAATAAGGGACCCATTCTCGCATCTCTCTACGCTGCAGCCGATCTTGCTAGAACAAAGACCTTGCGATGCAACGTTGTGTTTCTCATTGAGGGCGAGGAAGAGTCTGGATCCCAGGGTTTCCACGAGACAGTCCGTCGACACCATGACCAGATTGGATCCGTTGATTGGGTTCTTCTAGCCAACAGTTATTGGCTTGATGATTACAACCCGTGCTTGACTTATGGTCTTCGTGGTGTCGTTCACGCGAACTTGGTCGTCACAAGCGAGCACCCCGATCTACACAGCGGTATTGACGGTAGTACCTTGCTGGATGAGCCAGTCAAGGACATCGCCATGCTTCTATCCACAATCGTTGGTCGCAAAGGCCAGATCAATCTTCCAGGTTTCCATGACGCTGTTCGTCCTCTCACGGACGCCGAGCAGAAGCGCTTTGAGGCTATTGCAGATGTATTGCTTCTCCAGCACCCGGATATTCCCAACAGTCAAGCGCTTATCAAGTCGCTCATGCACCGTTGGCGTGAACCCTCACTCACTGTCCATTCCGTGGAGGTCCCTGGAAGCAAGAGTTCCACGACAATCGCCCGACGGGCCAAAGCAACCTTGTCAGTTCGCATCGTGCCCGACCAACAAGCAGACGAGGTAGCTGCAAACCTCACAGCCTACGCCCAGGAGCAATTTGCTCTCCTCGACTCACAAAACGACCTCACAGTGGAGATCACCGGAAAATCAGACGCCTGGCTGGGAGACCCGGACAACCAAATCTTCGCCACTCTGTCAGAGGCCATCACCGCCGCATGGAGCCAAGGCCAAGATAATGTGAAACATCAGTATCCTCCCATCCCCCAGAGCCCAACCAACCAACCAACAGCCACGCCCAACCCGACCAGAGGGTCCATACCGACCCTCATTCGCAAAGATTCATCCGACAGCGTCGCCTCGCAAGTCGAGCGGGTAATCACCTCAACGACCACCTCATCCGTGGGCAAAGAAGCAGCCAAACGCGCCGCGCAAACATCGGCTACAGTCCCAACATCCTCCACCCTTACACAAAGCACACCCACGTCTTCTGAAGAATCAGTTGCCTTGCCAATTCGAACCAAGCCCGACCCTCCTACTGACGCCAAGCCATCACCGCCTCTCTCTGTGAAACCAATGTTCATCCGCGAGGGTGGTTCTATCCCGACAATCCGGTTCCTGGAGAAGGAGTTTTCAGCCCCCGCTGCTAATCTACCATGTGGCCAAGCCAGCGACAACGCTCACTTGGATAACGAGCGAATGCGCGTGGAGAACTTGTACAAGAGCCGTGAAATCTTCCGGTATGTGTTCGAGCATTTGGTGGACAAGGCATAAGTCATCAATCGATAGGTGTGATGGGAGTGGAGTAAGCGTCTCCATCTCTGTAGGAGTTTTCTCGGGTCTCGGCTTTTTTTTCTTTTCCTTTTTTTTTTTTTTCTTTTTCCATTCTCATCTTGTGTAAACTACAAACTATAAATTACATCGACTGCATCTGATGTATCTCACAGCCTTTCAAAGTTGGTGGCTTCACATGATAACGTGAGAGTAAGCTAAGTGTCACGAAGTACAGAACCACCAACCCAGGGGCCCAGACTCATACTGACACAGTACACGAGTGATTCCCGAACTTGGTGGACCCGATTGACACACCTCTTTGACGTTTAACGGCCCTAAAGGAAACACTAGCGCACCTATCACCACCCAGACAGGTTACCTTCGTACCATCCACCCTCACCCCCTTTTGGCTCCACCAGGGCCATGTGTTTTAGTTCAGCCGTCCTGGTTCCCCGCATGCCAATCCTACTTTCTTGTTCCAGTTCCAGTTCCATGCACGTGCATGTATTACTCCGCTTGTGTGCTTTTGTACGTTCGTAGTATACGACTACTCCCAAGCTTCCATCGATCGTTTTATACCACTACACCGTATGAACAGTGGTATCCTAACAAAAGAACTCGGCTGCGCCAATCAGCCCAATGCAAACGCCCGGAAGCAAGCCGACATCCTGCAGTTCGGTCCAAACTCTTCTATACCGAAAAGGGGGACACATGCATGATTCTTTCTTTGTCTGGTGGAGGGCCGATTACGTCGTATCTCTATACTGCATCATGAACACGAAACACGTGGATCGGAGCTAGAATGCTACATACAGGAGACAGGTCTGATTACCCCACGGAAGAGGGGGAAGGAAAGAACTAAGTTGATCCTAATGTAGACGAATGGAATGGAATCTAAGTTTCGACTTCTTTTGTGCGCTGGCCTTGACGCCTTGACTTTCCGATACAGTTCTGATTAGACTCTTTTTTTGGCTTTTCTCGGGTGCTTTTAATACATGGTTCGTTCCCTTCCTTGTAGAGTTTGTTTTCTGGCCTTGTCTTTTCTCTGCTGCTCTGTCTTCTTCTTCATTGATGTGCTCCTGATACTTTCATTACCTTTCATTATGGGAAGTATCTCTGACCAAAGTGTCTATCTCCTTAGTCGGGATGGTGCTGAAACTGAACGGTGTGTTCCTTGTTCTCGTTGCTTTTTTTGGTGGAGTTGGGGGCCACTACATCACTACATCACTTTACTTCGCACATACACATCATGACTACTACTACTACCCCTTTTACGTGGGAATATTTTACTGCAATTTCCCATAGTTCCACCAAGACCTTTTTGAAGAAACTCACGGGCCGATCCCTGTCATAGCTACCCTCCAGTCCCGGCAGTCTGGCCAATCCACTACGAGTCTCCACAGCCCCAGTTCAAGTTCTTCACTAATGCACTACTCAATAGCCTCAACAACCAACACCGATTCCTAGTGGAAATCTCGGGAAATATTCTACACCCATCAATTCCCGCAAAAAATATAACTGCAGTCGCCGATCTGGGCACGGGAACAGGGTATGTGAAGTTCCTCTCCTATCCCATGCTATTCCCATTTAGCCTTCCAAGGCGCACGGCAAAACAGGGAATTAAAATTAAAGCACCAAAAGAGGCTTCCTGTACAACCCAAAGTTAAGCAACGCTGACCCGCCCCAGAATATGGCTTGAAGATATCGCAAACTGCCTCCCTAATAAATCGGTCTACCTCCACGGGTTCGATATCTCTCCTGCGCAATACCCATCCGGTAGCGAGATCCACCGACCAGGAAGGAATCCGATTCCGTTGAGTGTACATGATGCACTACACCCATTTCCGGTTGAGCACCATGCTCGGTATGACCTTGTTCATATCCGGCTTTTGACGGCTGGGTTGAAGTATGCGGATTATGCTACTGTTCTTGCGAATGCAAGAGATCTACTGAGTATATATATGCCTACCCACCCCCACCCCCACCCCCAGTATATACTAACAAAACAAAAGAACCAAACGGCTACCTCCAATGGGAAGAAGTCGACCACACAGCATTCTGCACAGACAGCATCCCCGAAAACCCAGCAATTACCAAACTCCGCCAATCAGTAATCGAAGCCATGCTCAAACTAGGCCTGTGGCCCTTCGCCCCCCAGCATGTACACCACCAACTCGCTGCAGGCGGGTTCCGCGATATACGGCGTGCTACGTATACGACTATAGACAGGGAGGGGATGCGGGCTATTTCGCAGAAATGGGTTGCTGGTGTTATGCGTGCGCTTGTTCCGGCTTCTATGGTTGTTACTGGTGAGGCGAGGGATGAGAGGCAGGCCAAGGAGGTTGTTGAGCGGTTGGTTGGGGAGTTTGATGATCATTGTCTTGGGGCGAGGGTACTTGTAAATTTTGGTGTTACTGTTGGGAGGAGATGTGATTGATTTTTATTGGGGGTTTGATATTGTACTGGGTTTGGAGTTGGATGGGATGGGTGATGGTCTCTATTTCTATGTTACTATGGGCTAGGCTAGGCTGGGTTTTACTGCTTTTGGAGACTGTAGGAATTAATTTGCTTTATTATTTTGATTCTTGAAAGGGAGCCTTGACTTTCGATTCCCAGTTGTTACAGGCAGCGCAAGAAATGTTCACTGTCTGTGACATAAGACCAGGGCGATCGAGCAATTAGCAGCAGCCTCATCAAGGTAATCCGATAATAGGGTCAAGCGATTCCCTTGGAGACGGCACGTCATCAGCACCGGCTGGTAGCAGGACTAGTCACAGCATGCGTTCCTTTCGTTCAGCAGAGCAAGGGGCATAGCCATGTGTTTGAGCAAAAGGTCAAGTTCCACAAGTATGAGAGATTTTGGAATCATGAGAACCATAAGCACAACGAAGAAGGACCTGTTCACAATTGTCAAATCTCCTGCTCATCGCCATCCGGGTTGACGTTATCTTGACAAAGACTATACCGCCCAGCGGGGAGAATATCCAGATATTTGTTCGAAGAGTATCTGCAAGCTTATGTCCTGGTTGTCGACATCCTTTTCTGAGATACTGGAAGACCAACATTGTGTGATGTGACGGATACCATCTTTATCTTGCATTCACCCCAGTGCGTGAAGTCGCTCAAGTGACGGCAGTGTATATACATAAATAGAAGAGTTCGACTGTTCAGGTCCATTGTCAGCGTGTTTCGTTGGGCCATTCAAAGATAGTACTTACCAAAGTCCCAATAGGATGCTCGCGGTTCATCTGGCGCAATGAAGGAGAAGAGAAAGCTGAGAAAGTGCATGTGCAGGGTCTTGCCAACATCCAAGGGCCAGCTGGAGAGCCAGAGAGCTTCACTAGCTAGCATAGCACCATTATATGTTAATATAAATTGTTTAGGGAAAAAGTCCAAGCCTCCAAAAGAATATACAAGCGTCAAAAAGAAGATTAAGTAGATGTCATAGTCATAGTGTATCAAAGAAAATTAAAAGGAAAGCCATGTGACGTCTAGTTTATTTGTCACTCTTGTTTGTCGGCGTCAGCCTGCTCACCCCCATCTTTGTTCTTCCAAGACCCAGCGTAGTGATGTTCAACGAGGTAAGGGCCTCTGTCTTTTGGCCAGCCGCCTTGTCCAGCGGCAAAAGCTGCATTAGGAAGAACCAGAACATCCTGAAAGAGCGTTGGTTGGGTGATGTTTGTAATGTTGTCTCGGCCCATGGGCAACCCCATTTCGAGCTCCAAGTTTTGAAAGAGTGCACGAGTCATGGCTTGCGGTCCTGTCACGTCGACGACGTCGCTGATCATTTCCATCGATAGGTCGGCCACAGTGACATTATTCTGTGTCGCGGAGTCCTCCAACGCCTTGATGACATATTTTATCACGGCGACAATGTGACTTGTTCTCGGTTTGCTCATGACTGTCCAAGTTGAGAATTGGAAACCGTCGAATTCCAAACCGACGACGACATTTGCTTTACTCTTGAATTTCTCCGGAATCCATGTGTCGACTGGTTGATGGCATGTCACGTCAAGGTCGCTCCAGATTCCACCGTCGGCATAGAGGATTAGTTGTCGGAGTAGATCTGCCTTCAGGATAGGCACTTGGAGCGATAAATAAAGATCGAGAACATGCGGGTAGTCGGCATATTGTTCGCGGACGTACTGATCTGCACTTCTGTCTGTAAGAATCTCATGTCGAAAGCTCGGATTCTTGTCCAGCCAGCTGCGTACTTCGACCTCTCGCTCTGGGCTGATTCCCATGGGGCCGGTCTTCTGCCATAATTTGGCCGGGAATGTCGAGACCTTGTGATGTCGATGTGGATTTGTAATAGGCAGGTAGCTGGACTTTCCAGGAAGTGGAGTTCCCTTCACCTGACTGTTTGTTGCACTTGGTTGGGGTAAGAATATCGCCTTGACCTCCGCAGAAGCGTTGTTCACTTTGGCATCGTCTGAACAAAGGCATGCGCCGTAGCCAAGAGTCAGATTCGGGGAGTCTGTACGCAGTTTCAGTGCTATCCAGAGAGAAGATGTGATGAACAAGAGCAGTAAGCCCAGTAGGTAGTGAAAACGTCCCATCGTGGCGGTGATGTGGTTCCAGGAGGAATTCGAGGCGAATGTTAGAAATTATATCCAAAAGGAGATAGTGGTGATTTGGATGTGAGATCCACTTTGTCAGATATATCAGAAACTTGGCTTTCCATTCCGGAAGTGTATCGCTAGTTGGTGTAGATCAGATCTTTCAACTGGCCCGATTTCTCAAAAGTATAGTATCCACCCCTTTTTCATGATATACTGTATTCCACCATGGATATCAATAATGAATACAGCGAAAAGACATCCCAGACGTGAGAAGCGGCTAAATAGTCTGATAGACCGTGATTAGAACGGACTAGTTCGGAGGCGTTTATGTCTACCGGGGGTCGATATTAAGGGTCTCACATTGAGCCACTCACGTTGTTAGATTGCGCGGCAGGGTCCAATTATATGCAACATATCCAATAAACAGCTCTACCATAACCACGTGGTGGTCAGCTTTGATTCGGTATTTATAGCCCGTCGAAGACAAAATCCTGTGGCCGGGACTGTTCTTGTTCTGTGCATCAAAGTTGGCTTGTGGTTAGAGGGTATCTGGCAAAATAGTCAAGAATCACTGTATGCATATTCAAGATGTGTGAATGCAAATCATGTTATTTTTCTCCCAACATTGTCGCTATGTTGAATGTGATATGTGCCTGCAGCAAGCCAATGATAACGCGTTTTGCCTTTTCCTTCGGTCTTGACTGCCCGAAGCTCAGCCACTCTGGATATATAAACCTTGATAAGGAATATTGATTAATGACTAATGGAAAAGGAGTACAAATAGCCAAAGAAGGACAATGATCAAGGACGGAGGAGGAGACAAGAGGATACTTGAGTAAGCAAGGTCTACTGTGATTCGAAATCAGTTTTACCTCCAATCTCTTGCTCTTTATTTCCCAAGGCCCCAATAACACACTAGTCCGTATTAGGAGATCATTCCGACAGCCTTGCATTTGTCAATGTACCTTCGATGAGCTGGGGTAAATTACAGTAATCTCATCTCTTGGGAATGTAGAATTTACTTGTTTCCTACACAAATGAACGTCATTTACTGTACCCGCCTCCCAATGTCAGGCCCTGACCGCCCTCACCAGCCCTCGGGAGGCGGGTAGGTGGTTTCTTTTACTCTTTTACTCTTGAGTTGCCACCTTGGCCCAGATTTATGTCGTTCCAAATTCCTGAGAAAAGTCCGAAAAGTCTTCCTCCTCAGTGCACATTTGCTGTGCTGTGTTGAAAAAGTTAGGACCACATGCCTCTTTTGCTAATCCTTAATTCTACCTAATAAATGGAATTGATGATTTCCTTAGTATGGTTGAAATTCACTTGCCCAGAGAACCTACTTTTATACCGGAAATTTGGATCGAATATGGGATCGGCGTTTGTGTTATTTTTCTACGATCCTTTATTCGAATTAGAACCGCGGGGTTCAGAGAGTTTCAGGGCGACGACTACCTTGTCATTCTAGTATGAACTGTGCTACATCGACAGAATTCCATTCCCTTCTTACTAATTGCTCAAAAGGTTGTCGCCTTATTCACCATGGATCAAACTCTCGTTCATTTCATTTGTAAGTGATGCTCTTTTGCACCCTTGAGACCTGTTTCATGCTTACAGGGCGAAGATAAGACAGGGACCATCCTTGAAATACCGCCAGATGTGGCCAACCAGTTATCACCTAGCCAGGCTGCTACCTTTGTCCACGGTGCAAAGTGTGAACTGGCTGCCTGGTACTCGTATACTGGACTAATTTGGGTTTTGAAGGCATCAATGCTATTTTTCTAGTGAGCTTTCCTATATCAGCGCCACTCATAGGAAGCTTGTTATTGACCGTGTTTATAGCAATCGGATTTTCTATGGGCTTTGGCAGGCAAGATTGGTGAAATGGCTTGCTATTGCTTGTACCGTCACATATATTGCTGTCTTTCTAACCATCACATTTGGTTGCTGGCCGTATGCACCCACGGTTTAACATTTTCATGATATCTGTGAGGCTGACTTGGTTGAAGCATTTCAGACAACTGGAGGATCTACCCTCCCCCATCTAGTAAGCTGCACTTTTATTTCGAAGATCATTGAAGAGTTCGGTCTGTTTACATGGTCTTCTAGGACACTGTGGTTTAAAGGTGCAGAATCTTATTGTCACCTGTGTCTTAAATGTGTTGTACGTATAAGTTCCTTTCATTTCTCTTCCCTGTCTTCCATTGCTAATAAAAGCATAATAGGACTGATGCAGCATTGTGAGCTGATTCAATACCCCAATTTCTATTTGATATACCTTTCTCATAGACCCCCAGGCTTTGCCTTCCTGTACCTCTATTGTGGACACTACATGTCCCTTTAAGAAAGTCAGTATTAACGTCATTTCATACTTCTGATCATTTGGTCACTAACATCTCCCTCTAGGAAACTTGTCATCAGTATATTCCTCAGCTCTGGGATATTCGTTATATCAATTTCAATCATTCGTACGAGCCTTACCCTCACCGGAAAACAATCCTCCTTCCTCGTCAATAGCTGGGGCGTCCGAGAAACGTTCGTTGGAATCGTGGCCGTGAACGCTGCTATCTTCGCCCCGATTCTGCGTAGAGCTTTTTGGACTCATGGTTCCTATCAATTAGCTATTAGACATACTAGGAGTGGGCACAGCATGGGATACTCGAGTTCTGGATAATAGATGTGAACAGGGGATGAGGGAGAGCAGAACAGCCGCATGTTGATGTCTTATGATATGTCAAAAATTAGGATTTCCTACAGTCACATACCGGGCTTTTACCCCTACTTTTATGACTTCTCTGATATGATGTTGTCAATCTGACCTAAAAAGAGACGGATAAATTTATCAAGGTCAAGTCTTTATACGTGGTGAGATGTTATCACTACCCTCCAAGAACCAACTTGATGACAGTATCACCAAGAGAGCGAGATACTTGTTCCCATCCTAATGGATACTATCGGCTAGCTGTAATGCTTGTCAAAGTTGAAGCCGCTCAGTGAATCGGTACGAGATGATGTTCTCGGCGTTCACGAGCATTCCATCTTCAAAATAAATTAGGAAGAGACATGGTTAAGTGTAAGAAGGGATGAAAGAGGGGGAAAAGGTATTTAACAAGAACTTGTTGGGGAAAGACATACTTGCAAGTTCGGGCCTAGGGCATGACAGATGACAAAAAGCGGGGCTAGCATTCAAACTTCTACCAGCAATCAGGAATGACGGTACCACAGCAATGACTCAATTTTCCTTACTAGTCAAAACAGCGCAATCTAGCACCAGTCACTAGGGAAGAAACTTAACTTGGCTTAGCATGTTCGATCTAGGTTTTGCGAATCCTTCGGAGATGTGGAGGTGATCTGAAATCGAATATTACTGTAGGGCTGCCGGCTCATTTGCAAAGGGCTTTCCATCGCACTGTCCGTGCCAAGGTGTAGTTGGCCGATTGACGTGATAATGATAACTTGAGTGATTGAAAGAGGTATGTTATATATGTAAGAATGGATTAGCAGAAGATAAGGATACTGTAATTTACGACAGCTCATCGAGGGTACATTGACAAGTGCAAGGCTGGCGGAATGGCCTCCTAATATGGACTAGTGCGCTATAGGTGGGGCCTTGGGAAATAAAGAGCAAGAGATTGGAGGTAAAACTGATTTCGAATATCACACTGTACATGTATCAAACTCAGGCATCAGTCTCAAGAATCAATGTGCAACAAGTGGTTGCTAAGGCCTTTCATATGTATTCACCTCTGTGTGGCCATTTTAGATGCTGTTCTTTCTCTATAATTGTAGCAGTTTGCATCCTTACTTAGCGCATGATGTTTAAATCCCTCAGGAAATTCTCCACAAATCTGTGGAGAACCTAACGTATCAAATGACACGTATGGCATTGATATATAACGACAGTTCCCAGTCTCATATGGGCATGGAGATAAGTCCAAGTCTATCACCGCGCAAAGAGCTTGTGAAGATCATACTTCTACATAAATCTCGCTGTGACCCCGGCCATTGTGTGATTAGTCAGTGCCGACCTCGGCCCGGCTATGACGTTTTAGACAAACCCCAAGTGGAGAGCTTCAAGCTCAAATCTTGCACCTCTTCATATTCATCATGGCTTCCAAGGTCGCTCCCCAAATGTTGCGCGCATTCCGTACTGCTCCTCGCGTCGCCCCTTGGGCTGTGCCTCGTGCGCCCGCTTTCCGTCGCTTCTTCGCGGCCCAAGCTCAGGAACAGCCGCGTCTTCGCCTGGGTTCCACTGGTATGGGGAATTCAAGTATATGCTACGAGTAATGCTAATATGAGATAGCACCCAACTTCAAGGCTCTGACCACAAAGGGTGAGATTGACTTCCACGAGTTTATCGGCAACAGCTGGGCCATCCTCTTCTCTCACCCTGCCGATTTCACCCCGGTCTGCACGACCGAGCTTGGCGCCTTTGCCAAGCTGAAGGATGAATTCGAGAAGCGCGGGGTAAAGATGATTGGATTGGTGAGTTTCAGCCATTGATAGTCCACCTGACACTGGCTAATGCAACCTTTCAATAGAGCGCCAACGATCTCGGCTCCCACGACGAATGGATCAAGGACATCAACGAAGTCGGTTCGACACAGGTCCAATTCCCCATCATCGCCGATGCCGACCGCAAGGTTGCCTTCCTCTACGATATGATCGACCAGCAGGACTTGGATAACATCGACCAGAAGGGAATTGCTTTTACTATCAGATCCGTCTTCATCATCGATCCGAGCAAGAAGATCCGCCTTACCATGATGTACCCCGCCTCCACGGGCCGAAACTCCGCTGAGGTCCTCCGAGTCATTGATTCCTTGCAGACCGGCGACAAGAAGGGCGTGACCACTCCCATCGACTGGAAGGTCGGCGACGACGTCATCGTGCCCCCCTCCGTGTCGACTCCCGACGCGAAAAAGAAGTTCGGCGAGGTTCGCGAGGTTAAGCCTTATCTGCGTTACACCAAGATTTAAAGATGGATTTCCCGTTCTGTGTACAACATATATAACATTGGATCCATAGAGAAATTTTGAAAATGTCGATCGCGTTCCCAGAGTCGCGTGTTCTATTTACAGTAATCACTCCGTGGATGATCTCAACTAGCACCGGAGGGACCTCGGTGAACCATCAATCATAGGGTGGAAAATGGGTCTTGGTGATCGGAAGTCACGCTTCAACTGTTCCAACCCCTGACACCATGTCTGTTTAGGGCAAGGATAATCCGGGGAGCCGTTCATTACTGCTACAAGCCCCCCATCCATGATTTATGCGGGAACGATGTCCAGACTAAACCCGTCAGGTTAATAGATTATGTCCATCAACCTCGGCTATGCAAGCGAAGCCCACCACAAGTCGATCCCTGAACAATAATCACTATTCCAAGCCCTCAATGCACCGCCAAGCGGAATGCTGGCTGAATCCCACGACGATCTATACTCTTATGGAGCAAGGATCGCTTGTTCGCCATGGTGTGCAGAGTCATTCCTCCGAAATGCCCACACGGGCGTCACTCCTTTCCTGTTCCTGGGATATCGTCCGTGGTCACACCCCGTTTTTATAAACGGTGGGATCTGTCTGTCGAAAGTTCTGCAGATTCTTAAATCTGGGGAAAATGCACTCCTTCTTTATAGTGACCTAAATACGTTCGTTCTTATACTTATTCTATTTATCCGTGCTCGGAAGTACCCCGGACGCCATGGCTCCTTGGGCACATCTAGCTCTAGTCACTCTTTTCACCCCGCTCCTGGCCTCCCCAGTCAGCGAATCCGAGTCTATAATCAACCAAAAGCGCGCAGCGGAAGGATATGTATCGCCTCCGTATTATCCCACTCCTCCAGGAGGATGGGTGTCCGACTGGAGCGAAGCCTACGAAAAGGCTCGCAAGGTCGTGAGCAACATGACGCTGGCCGAGAAAGTCAACTTGACCACTGGAACAGGCTTCTTCATGGGCCCCTGCGTGGGCCAAACAGGCAGCGCGCCCCGATTTGGTATTCCGAATATCTGTCTGCAGGACTCTCCTGTCGGAATCCGGAATTCGGACCACAACACCGCTTTTCCGCCGGGTATTACTGTGGGTGCGACCTTTAATAAGGACCTCATGTATGAGCGCGGCGTCGGATTGGGCGAAGAGGCTCGAGGCAAGGGCGTCAATGTTCTTCTCGGGCCTGCTGTTGGTCCCCTTGGCCGCAAGCCGTGTGGTGGCCGTATTTGGGAGGCATTCGGTGCCGATCCATCTCTGCAAGCCTTTGCAGGTGCAGAAACTATCAAGGGCATGCAAAGCACCGGTGCGATTGCTGCTATCAAACATTTCATTGGCAACGAGCAGGAAATGTTCCGCATGAGCAGCGTTGTTACCAAAGGGTACTCGTCCAATATTGATGACCGCACATTGCATGAACTGTATCTTTGGCCTTTTGCCGAAGGTGTTCGCGCTGGTGTAGGCTCGCTCATGACTGCGTATAATGATGTAAGGAGTGTTGGACGCTGTCTTGTGTTGTGTGACTGACTTGGAGTAGGTGAACAGCTCAGCCTGTAGCCAGAACAGCAAGCTGCTCAACGGAATCCTCAAGGATGAGCTTGGTTTCCAGGGATTTGTCATGACTGACTGGCTGGGTCATTACACGGGTGTGGCTTCAGCGCTGGCCGGCTTGGATATGGCTATGCCCGGTGACGGTGCTGTCCCTCTATTTGGCGACAGTTATTGGGGACCAGAGATGTCGCGCTCGGTTCTGAATGGAAGTGTTCCCGTGGACCGTCTGAACGACATGGTACGTTGATATGTTTACTTCGAACATTTATCCGATCTAACACACAATCTAGGTCACTCGTATTGTTGCGACTTGGTACAAGTTCGGTCAGGATAAAGACTACCCTTTGCCTAACTTCTCGACCAACACTCAAGACAAGGAGGGACCGCTTTACCCGGGTGCTCTCTTCTCTCCTTCCGGAGTTGTCAATCAATTCGTCGATGTCACAGCAAATCACAATGCCACAGTGCGAGCCGTTGCCAGAGAGGCAATTACCCTACTCAAGAATGACATGGACATACTCCCTCTCAGTCGCAATGACAACTTGAAAGTCTTCGGTACAGATGCAGGGGGAAACCCAGACGGTCTCAACTCATGCACTGATATGGGATGCAACAAGGGCGTTTTGACGATGGGCTGGGGCAGTGGCACGGCCAGGCTCCCCTACCTCATCACTCCCCAGGAGGCCATTGCCAATGTGACCAACAATGTAGAATTCCATATCACCGACTCATTCCCTTCGGATGTCACCGCCAATTCCAGCGACATCGCTCTTGTTTTTATCAACGCTGACTCTGGCGAGAACTATATCACTGTCGAAGGAAACCCTGGAGATCGCACCGACGCCGGCCTCAATGCTTGGCACAATGGTGACGACCTCGTGAAAGCGGCAGCCAAGAAGTTCTCGAATGTTGTGGTGATTATTCACACTGTCGGACCGATCTTAATGGAAGAATGGGCCGATTTGGAGTCCGTTAAAGCCATTGTCGTAGCCCATCTCCCCGGTCAAGAAGCAGGTAACTCTCTTACCGATGTCTTGTTCGGAGACTATAGTCCCAGTGGACACATGCCGTACACAATCCCCAAGAGCGAAGACGATTACCCGGAAAGTGTCGGCCTAATCAACCAGCCGTTCGGCCAGATCCAGGATACTTTCACCGAAGGTCTATACGTTGACTACCGCCATTTCATGAAAGCAAATGTGACACCCCGATACCCCTTCGGTCACGGACTGTCCTACACAACGTTCAACTTCTCCCAACCCTCCTTATCAGTGGTTACTCCCTTGGACACTGCCTACCCAGCTGCCCGTCCCACCAAATCAGCCACTCCAACCTACAACACCAGCATTCCCGCCGCATCAGAAGTAGCCTGGTCATCAACCACATTCACCCGCATCTGGCGCTACCTCTACCCTTACCTGGATAACCCACAGTCTATCACTGCATCCAACAAATACCCCTATCCAGATGGATACAGCACGGAACCGCACCCCGTTCCTCGCGCTGGTGGCGGCCAGGGTGGAAACCCTGCCCTCTTTGAAACCGCCTTCTCGGTTCAGGTGCGAGTTCAGAATACAGGAAAGCGACACGGCAAGGCCGTTGCCCAGCTCTATGTTGAGCTTCCGTCTTCTCTTGGTCTTGATACGCCCGAGCTACAGCTACGTCAATTCGAGAAGACTAAGGAGCTTGCGCCAGGCCAGAGTGAGACTTTGACCCTTCATCTTACTCGGAAGGATGTTAGTGTTTGGGATGTCGATGTGCAGGATTGGAAGGCTCCTGTTCATGGACAGGGTATTAAGATCTGGGTTGGGAACAGTGTTGCTGATCTACCTGTTTTGTGTACTGTTGGTGGAGACTGTTCGGCTGAGTAAGGAAAGGTCAACCTGTAGAGACTTTTCTTGTATGTTTCCTTGGTTTCTCTGGATACTCGAGATCTAGTGTATGCTGTTTCCATGTTCTATGTAATAATTAATGGGCCAAATCAAACGGAACTCCCATTTGTGATAACCGGAGCCCTTGCCTGACCATCTTAGGAATGGCATAGTGAGTTCTGCCGGGACGGGAGTGTCCGTGTGGGGCCGCAAAGCTTAATCTGGTTTGGTCTGAGTTTTTCGATAGTCAAGTATTAGTTGAATCCATTCATTTAAGTAATTTTATTAAAACGAGAACGGAGCATTACTATAAGTGAATATCTGTAGTGTTGGATACATCTTTTTGCGAGGGTCGACCAATGAGATAGGTTGCCTAATTGGGAAGGAAAGCGTCGAAGTAAAGATGGATGTAAATTCTCCTAGCTCGTCTTTTCTCCCTTCCTTTTTCTTTCTTCTCTCTCGATTTACGTATCAGCTTACACTCACTCTACTATTAGCTGATATTCATTCTTTCTTCACTTGGAGGTCACTTCAAGCCTCTTTTTCATCAGAACATCCAACTCACTTGTCAGCCATGGATGGTTCATCGTTGCCCCTTTTGGGGATGATTGTTTTCGGGTCCTTTGCCCTGTGGGCTCAGTGGTGCCTACGAAAGTGGTTCCGTGTTGTGGTCAGTTTTTTGCTTTGCACTATTGTCTGTGTGTCTATGGCTTCGGCCGTTTGGGCCAATGTCCATAAAGTCGTCGCGTCTATTGGATACGGCTTTGTGGCCCGGGAAACCTGGATGTTTGCGCGGTAAGCCAAAGAGACCCAGAGAGGCATCCCGAGAGAGATCCGAAGAGACACCTCAAGAGACACCCCAAACAGCTTGCTCCAGGACGTTAGATACTGACAAATGTGAACAGTGTGTTGTGGAGCGGAACGCCCACACACTTACCGGGGCCTCCTCAACACGAATCCAGCAGCGCCGATTTGGTCTCGGCTGCGGATCTCAGAGCGTCGGAGGCCCAGGTGCGGGCATTGGACCAGCAGGTTCGTCAGATGCGGCACGATCGGGAGGCCGAGGTGAATCAATTGAACTCCACAATCCGACTGTACCAGCGCGGGGTGGTGTCCGGGCCTGGTCCAATTCGGCAGCTTATGGACTGGAAGCAGGCCGCGGAGAATAAAGCTCGAGGCCTCCAGTTGAAGGTGGACACTCTTGAGGCGAAGGTGTAATCTCTTGAGGGGGAGGGTGTGGCCATGAAGGCCCGAATCCCCAAAATACATGCCCGGTGGGAACACATGGACAATGCTGGCATCTCCAAGCGGAGGCGTCGCCGGCCAGCCAAAGGGGCACTGTCCCCAGACAACAAACTGGCTTTGGTCGACGCCGCCTGGGGGGCCAGGTGTTCCGCCATCCAGGAGAAGGGCAAGAAGTGTCTTGAACTCGTTACCCAGCGTGTGGAGTGTTTGGAGGCCTACAACAAGTGTCTCCACAAAGGAAACACCACTCTCAAGGGAGAAGTGGCCGAGAACGTTTCCCTGCGGTGGTATCAAGAAGGCCAGCTACAAAAGGCACTCGCAACAAACAGAGAGAACAGCCGAACCATCCAGGGTCTGATTTCTAGTGCCCGCCAGCAGAATATGGTGCTGACCAACCATATTGGGGGCCTAGAAGGTATACGCGAGATGGAGGCCACTGCTGCCACCCACACCCACCACAGCGAATTGGAGAGCACCCGCCTCACCTTGGAGAGGGCCCGCGAATCCGCGCTTGCCGGTCAGAGCTATGAATACGAGGAGCGGCAGAGAGAGATCATCCGCCAGCACGAGGCGGAGAAGCTGAATGCCAAAGCCCAGATGGCAGAGGTCACTCGCCAACAAGCGGCGCAGAACCTGGATTCTCAAGACAAGATGGAAGCGATGACCCGCCAGCACACTGCGCAGAAACTCGACATTCATGCCAGGATGGAAGAGTTGACAGAGCAGGCAGCTTCAAACAAATCGCTGTTGGAACGGACCGAGGCCCGCCTTGCGGAATCGCTCGCCGAAAACGTCGCCCTCACCAAAAGGCTAGACAGGGCTGAGAACCTTCAAGGGACCACGAGATCTGCGCGTGGTGGCATTACGAAGTCCAAGCCAAAGCACGCCAAACTTCGCGATGGAACCAACAATCCCCAACAAAGCCAACGTTCCACAGAGGCAGCTGAAAAGCTACGAAAGGGACGAAATATGGTCCAAAGATTGAGAGCATTGCGCCGATCCTCTGAAGATCACGTCTCCAAGCCTGATGAGGACGAACTGGCGAACATCTGCAAAGGGTTGACGCTTTAGTTCTGAGGTTGGATATCGGCTGAGTCATCCAACTCAATTCCGACTTTCCTCCCATGCGATCGTTATCTCCGCTCGCCGCTCTCTCTTCTCTCTGTTCTCTGTTCTGTGTTCTCGCTCTGTTCTCTCTTCTTTGTTACGGCTCTTGCTCTCTGGTCTCTGTCTTTGCTCCCTGGTCTCTGCTCCGTCTCTTCTCTCTCCGATCACACTTTCTCTTCTCTCCGCCCACAGCATGTCCTATTAATCCTCCGCCTATGCATCCCTCGCCGTACCGTTCTCTCGCCGCTCGGCCCTTGATCCTGGGTTTGGCAAAACTTCTTCTCCTCGCCATCTCACAACTTCCACTCGCGACCGCAGCGCCCGCTCTTTCCCCTCTCTTTATCTCATCCGACGCAGAACCACCAAAGGAACCCAACGACCCGAGTCTATGGCTTTACCTGGGAGTTTCAGCCGCCCTCGTTCTCAGCGGTGGAGCGTTTGCGGGATTGACAATTGCCTTGATGGGACAGGATGAAGTTTATCTTCAAGTCATCAGGACCTCCGGCGAAGGATCCGAAAGGAAAAATGCCAGCAGTGTTCTCAACCTCTTAAAACACGGGAAACATTGGGTTCTTGTCACTCTTCTTCTCAGCAATGTGATTACAAACGAAACATTGCCTATCGTCCTGGACCGATCATTGGGTGGTGGTTGGCCTGCCGTCCTAGGAAGTACAGCATTGATCGTCATCTTCGGCGAGATTGTTCCGCAGTCAATATGTGTTCGTTACGGTCTTCCAATTGGTGCCTGGATGGCTCCTTGTGTCTTGGTCTTGATGTACATCATGTCACCGGTGGCCTGGCCCATCGCAAAGCTCCTGGACCGGCTGCTTGGCGAGGATCATGGTACCATCTACAAAAAGGCCGGACTGAAGACCCTTGTCACTCTCCATAAAACACTGGGCGAGGCAGGCGAACAACTCAATTCCGACGAGGTTACCATTATCAGTGCCGTCCTCGACTTGAAAGAAAAGTCAGTCGGCACAATTATGACCCCGATGGAAGATGTCTTCACCATGTCTGCAGACACCGTGCTGGATGAGCACACCATGGATTTGATTCTTTCCCAAGGATATTCTCGCATCCCCATCCACGCCCCCGATAACGCAATGAATTTCGTCGGCATGCTCCTTGTCAAAATGCTGATCACATATGACCCCGAGGATTGCAAACGAGTTCGCGACTTTGCGCTGGCCACACTCCCTGAAACACGGCCTGAAACAAGTTGTCTCGACATTGTCAATTTCTTCCAAGAAGGCAAGTCCCACATGGTGCTTGTCTCTGAATATCCCAGTGAGGATCGTGGCGCCCTTGGAGTTGTCACCCTGGAAGACGTGATTGAGGAATTGATTGGCGAAGAGATCATCGATGAATCTGATGTCTTTATTGATGTCCACAAGGCTATCCGAAGGATGGCTCCCGCCCCGAAATCCCGTGTTCCTAAGGGCAAGATTGTTGAAGAGCCTCCTCTCAATGCCACTATTGTCACAGATGGCGATTTGATTGATGCTGACCCCTCACATCCCACATCCACCCCCAAACTTTCTGATATGGCCCGACGCCGGAGCTCTGTGGAAGCACCTCTCCCCCGCTTTCATTTACGCAAGGCAAATGGCGAGCACAATTTAAATGCCGCAGATGGATGGGTGACCCAAATGGGCACCACAGATGAGATTCGAGAGCACCTGAAGCATCTTGGTCCCTCGAATCTGGCCAGTCGTCCACGTCAAACACGATACTCCTCAGTCAAAATCAAACGTGGAAGTACCTCACCATCACGCTCCGCGCAGGCAGATCTCGAGTCCGCACATAGCGCATCTGACTCTTCAAAGATTCAAAACATATCGACCGCCTACCAAGGTGGCATCGGCGCAGGCCTCCTCAACTCTGCTGGTCCAGACGCGAAGGACGGCGCGCATGTATTGAAACTTGGCTACGGGACGATGACTTCGAATGATGCTATGAGCAAAAGCACAAGCGCACAACAATATAAAGACCTCCCGCACGTCTCCATTCCCGAGGCAGTCGATGAAGAGCACGAAGACCAACCGCCTTCTGCTTCGACGCGGAAGGGCAGTAGTGGTGAGGGTAGCATTCACTCAACCGATTCTCCCACCTGTTTCCCCTATCGTCGCCGAGGGCCGGCTCGCAGTGGCAGTATCACCGAACAAATAGTGGATGTCAACGGCATTCGCAAAGTCGTTCTTCACGCCAATCCCACGAGTTCTTCAGACAGTGAACCCCGCCTTCTACCGGAGTCTGAGCATACCGATTCTGCGGCCACAAAATCAAAAAAGAAGCGCCGTCGCAAGAAGCGTGGAAATAACTCAAAGACCGATGACGGTCCTTCCGAGGGGCAACCATTACTCCAAGGATGAAATAGACAGGCACGACATTAACGGCTACATCTGCGGTAGTCTCTACAAATGAACAGCATGCTGGGCAAATTGTGCAAATTCTCATATCCTTAACTCTATCAATGTATTATTCGGTTTCGGTCCCGCTGGTCATACTTCTCTTACCTCGACTTTCGTAGATTCTCTACTCCGCTGCAGCGTTTCGGATATTGTAGCAAATAGCAGATCCACTTGGAGAGATCCACCGTAGTTCTGGCTGTCCCATGATTTATACTTGCCTGCCCAGTAGCTATGTTCCAGCAGCTACTGTGTGGCGTCTGCTTGGGAGATGACAAGCTTCAACTAGGTTGCTTCTGTTGTTTCTCGTGCTGATCGAACTCAACATACGCTTTTACTTCTCTTGATAGATCGCTGGCTGTACCCCACTGGGAGTGAGACAACGGGGGTGGATGTAAGGGAGGGAAAGCAAGGACTATCTATGGAACTGTGGAGGCGCAATCTAACAGTCTAATGGGTACTGCATGTACACTAAGGTCATCCAGATTGACTTCTGATCCTCCTTTTATGTCATTCTCGAGGGGGTTTTGGAATCGACTGTTACATTCGATTCGACCGTGGCGCCTGGTGACCAAATGCAGTCTTTCTTTAGCTAGCCAAGGGCCATCATCATCAAACATGGCATGTTGGGAAGCCGAATATATATTAATTAATTTTTTGTAGGGGCCAAGATCGAAGCGCAGTGCGAAGTCATATATAATTTATCGGACCTCAGACAGCATCCAAATTCGTCGGTCGTCAATGCTTAGACTACGATGGTACTACATTTCATATTCAGAGTAATCGAATGTTCTTTTTATTTCTCGAGACCAGATACATGCTATGCCAAACTTCTCCAGTACAAGAAGGGTCCTCGATAATGCTAACTAAAAATTGAGGGCACAATGATAGCACCGAAACAAGACAATAGATGCAACATGTGATCGCTGGTCATAAAGACGTCCGTCATGTAGATGAGATGAATGGTCGATGGGGCCTCGTTAAAACCATGAAGGGCTTAAAAACTCATTTGAGAAAATGACCCGACACGGAAAGAGTAACCCAATTGTCGGTTTATCGTTAGGCTGCGAAGAAGTCCATGAGTTGCCAAAAGTCGAGCAGTCTTGAGGGCCTGGGTTTGATGAGCGTGCAAGCCGTAGATCTGCGATGGTGTCGATGACGTGAAGATGTTGGCGGATATTTTGTCGCGAATGATACCGAAAAGTGGGAACCAGGTAGATGTAGTTCTCGTTGGTGTGAAGCGATAGAAGCAATCATTGGAGAAGAGGATCCTGGTAGAATGTTAGTATCATTAATCAGAAGGCAGCTAGGGGAAAAACATACGCGGAAGTGCTTCTGGTGGTTGCCGCCTTTCTGGACGCGTGCAAGATGGCGGTTTTCCTGGCGCATGCCACGGGTTCTTTCACGGCGCTCTGCAACACGAGCGGCTTGCTTCTGTTCTTCGGAGGCTCCGACCATACCCAGGCCACCGTTGGCGCGGGTAGTGAGGGCACGGTGGTGGTTGGGGCGGCCGCGGGGCTCTTCTTCAATTTCTCCGTTTTCAATGGCCAACTGGCGCTCGGCCCGTTCAGCGGCTGTGGGGTAGTTGTGGAGGTTCTGGCGGTAGTAAACGTTGAGCGAGCGGTGACCGACAGTCTTTCCTGATGGAAGGTGAAGCTCGTAGTCGTCTTCAACGACGGTGGGTGCCTTTCGGTGGTAATCGATATCATCTTCGTCCACTGAAGATGCGGAACTCTCAGTTTCCCATCCCTGGTCATCAGCATCTGAGCGGTTGACTTTGACGCCGCCCTCCTCAGGTGTGGATTCGTCCTCGTCGTCGGAGTAGGTGCTCCGGAAGTCGTAGTATTGTCCAATTTCAATTTGTTCATCTTCTGTTTCAAACGCAATCATGCAGTGGCTCTTGTCGCGCATGTGGGCTTGGATAGCGTGGGGGTTGTCTTTGATGGTGTGACAATAAAGACACTCGGAGTTCTCCGTGATCTTGCGGTACAGATAGTGCACAAGACCGTCGAGATCTGCCAAATATTCTCTCTCTGGGATGAACATGCCGTGAGTCTTGAACATGTGCTCGACGTTGGCGTGAATGTCGTCAGACTTGTCTTTGCAGAAAAGGCAGCGAGCTGCGGAAAATTCCTCCATCTCTGTATCCTCGTCTCCTTCATTTTGTTCTTCAATGGTGGTAGTCTTGAGGTTGTCGGTAATATTGTTAACGTCGGTTTTGACGGGTTCTCCAAGGGAGAATGCAGAACTCATGACGGAACCGGAGTCGCCGTCCTTGCTCAGTTGAGCTTCGCGCTGCTTGTGCTTGGCGCTTTTGATGTGATTTTGGTAGGAGTTCTCGCTGTAAAAGGCCTTGTTGCAAGTGTGGCAGGACTTTTCGTATGAAGCCTTGGCGGCGGCCTCGGTGGATGTAGCTTTGGCGGCCAAGACTTTTTCGTTGAAAGTTTCAAGTGAAACGGGAGGCAAGGAAGCGATGCGGCGCTTCATGTTGTATAGACTGGAAAGATTAGCTACTGGTTTATGTAGACAAAAAAAAAAAAAAAAAAACGTACTGCCAATCTTTCCGCATGTGATCTCTCTGCGCATCGCTGCGATGGAAGGCGACGAGACAGGTGTTGCAGGTGTATTGCAGCGAAGACGCCGCGGTGCCCTGGTTGGACGACATGTTGGATGGTTGATCGAGGTGGTTGGAAATGGTGGGTTTTCCTTGGTTGTGGGATGAATATTTATCGCAGGCGGGGTACATGCGAAGGCTCTGATTAGGCCTTGGTTCGGTTGTTTTCGATCGATCCGAGATGAATCAGATGGTGAAAGTCCCCAAAAGTGATGGGACTGGGATGAATGTAAAGGAGAGATTCTTGACAGCGAAAATTCCAGTGAGTCAGGCCTTATGCTTCTCGTCAGGCGGATTCCTGGTTGATCAATGCGAATAATCTTTCTTATCGAGACGCTAAACCGAATGTAGCTAAAGCTAAACCTTTCTTGGTAAGAATGGTATCATTGTGGATTAATCAGCAGTCCACCGGACTATCTACGCTCCGACCTCCGGGCCCCGGACTTCTGCCTGAGGCCATGGTCTCACTACGATGATATCAGGTGAGCTGGTCTTCGCATTCAACGCGCGGTATTGATGACAGCCTAACCCGCCATCCACCTCATCTACCCTCTTCTGGCCTCTCAGATATGCGATTATTTTGTTGAAAATGACCAGGCTCCGAGGAGCTTCTATTGACGACCCTGACATCGCGCGGTCTGCCGGCGGTCATGGACGAGCTCAAATCTATCAGTCAAAACTACCACCAAATGCGCCCGAGCCTATTGCACAGAACACCATTGAAGTATCAGACTCGTCAAGGGTGCTACAAAGGTATCGCGATGAGCGAAGACGGGGATTTAATGGGTTGGTGAGAAGGTAAGCTTGAAACACCTGCCTCTACTTCGCCGCTTACCATTTCTCGAAATAGATATAAAGCCCAACTATTACATGGTTGTGAGGACCCCGGATGTCAGACCCCTACCTGCGCCAGTCGTCGCCGAAGAATCAGCGAAGGACCGTATCGCCGCTACACCGAACTGAGTGCGCGAACCCTGGCCTGCTACCTCGCTAGTCTGGATGATGCAGAGAGTGGCCTATGTCGGAACACGCCTAAACTTCCGCCGGAATTAAAAGCAGAAGACTACCACCGTATTTCCTTACGCCGAACACGTACACTCGAAGCGCAGAAAGCAGCGGCTCGCAAATCCCCTAAACCGGAAACGAAGGTCGACGAGGAGGAGTTACCTGGCAGTGCTGTTGTTTCCCACGAGGCAAAAGTTGCGAGCAAGGATGCAGCAGATACATCTCAGGTCCAAGGCACCAGCTACATCCGTGACCTCGACCATACGGCGGAGCAACAACTAAAAGACCCAAAGTCTTTCACTCAAAACCTCTTCGACACGATATCATTGCGCATGGTTGAATGGCTTCCCCTTCGTCGAGCACCAGATTCCGTTGAAGCCAAGCCTGTTCCAGCCTCACAAACCACGAATGACTCATCTGGCAAGAAACAAGGCCACGAGAAAGTCTCAGGCGGGCTTCGAAAAGCCCAGGGGCGATCCGTCGCTACAAAGAAAACTCAACCTCGTACTCCATCATCACGAAAATCGCAACCTGCAGTGGAGCTCAAGTTTCCAAATCAACATGTCAAACGACGACCTGTCCCTGAGGTTGACCATTGGCGTCAAAGTCCACGATCAAGCCTCGAAGACAAACGGAAACCGGAATTCAATCTCAAACTACCAGCACTATCTGCAGGTGAATTTCCCAGCCTGCCCTCTCCACCAGCATTAAAACACAGGCCCCAAAAGCATCGGGGAAGGATCGAGGAATTAGAACCCATTCCTAAGGAACGTCGCAGAACTCAACGACGTGTCTCTTGGGATAGTGAGAAGATTTTGCATCACGTCTCTGAGAAGGCCACAGTGAACACTGAGCTTCTCCCTCTGTTGCCAGCCGATGCTCAGTCACCTAGTGAGCGTAAAGCAAAGCACGGCCATGTTGATCACTTACCAGATCAGGCGCCATTGGCTCAAACAGTGACCCATTTCACCCCAGAAATCATAGATGGCCTGTCACAAGTCATGATCGGATCCGAAGAGGATGCTGAGTGTTGGAAAGAGGAACTTGATCGCATGCAATCAGCGGGAAGCTTTGAGCAACCTGACTGGCGATCTGCGACCCTCAAGCAACGTGAAGCTTTTCCTTTCGTTGCTCAAAGTACATTTTTCGTGCTGAGTAGCCCTCGTCAAATCCTGTGCTCCTTTGGCAAAGAACAAACAGACGTTCTCGTGGCAAATCGTCTTGATATGGCGTCCTTGCACACGTCGCTGCAGCGCCTGTTTTCTCTCTGCCCATGGGATATTGCATTGCATAGCCTATGGAGTAGCTTGGATAGGCTATTTGTACCACCAGATGGATTCACTTCTGGCCGGCCATCGCGCCGTTCATCTCGGAGTTCGACAATGACGGGACCGGCGCCTCCAGTTGTTCCAAGGCGGTTGTCTGAATCTGCCGAAGAGCATCTGTCTGACTCTGACGCAGCCTATATTGCTACTATTGTGTTATTCGCCTTGGTCAGCTCGGTTCCAAAGATCGACCTGGGAGCTTGGCGCGCAGTTGTTCAGATGCGTTCCTCCGGCTTTGTTGCCTCCTTATCGGACATGCGCAAGCTGCCTGTTGAGTCTGCCCAGAAAGCGGTTGAGGTGACAGACAGATTCGAACATGAGCTAGGTCTTCGCTTGATCAATCGTCTCGTGCGTGCTCTCACTGCTCGCATAGCTTACCATGAAATTGCCAAAGCGCGACAAGTGTATAGCTTGGACTTTCCCAAACAGCGGAAGGTTAGCGTTCTGGACCGCGTGGTGGACTATCTCAGTGAACACCACAGCTCTCGGGATGTTGAAACAGGGTCAATCAACCCCTCGTCCCTCATTGTTGAATGGCTTCGGACGCTCTTTTTACGCGAGTGGGATGGCAACCCAGATATGGCTCGTAGTAGTCCGGCTGGTGGGGCTGTGCAGATCCTAGCCTCGATGTATAAGCAGCGAAACCGACTCGGTCTATCTGCTGAAGAATTCCACACGCCCCTTCTCGCAGAGCGGCTGGACCCCTTGGAGATGCCTGTGGCGTGGGTTGGAGGGCTTTCAAACAACCGAACAATGCATCTTCTCTCATACTCCTTCCTCTTCCCTCCTTCTTCACTTGTCATCTATTTCCGTTCCTTGAACTATTCTGCCATGGCTAAAAGCTACGAGGCTGCCATGACCACGACGAGACATGTCACGCAAACTGCCTTTGGAGCTATCCAGATTACAGAGGATCTTGGCCTTCTCACTCGCATGAAAACATCCATGTCAACGTACCTTGTTCTCGTCGTTCGACGAGACAACATTCTCTCAGATGCCCTGAGCCAGTTATGGCGGCGAGAAAAACGAGAATTGATGCGACCGCTGAAGGTACAAATGGGCATGGACGAAGGAGAAGAAGGCCTTGATCACGGTGGTGTCCAGCAGGAATTCTTCCGTGTGCTGATGGGCCAAGCCCTGGATCCATCCTACGGCATGTTCACAGTTGATACCCGACACCGTGTGTCTTGGTTCCAGCCTTGCGCGTTGGAACCTTTGTACAAATTTGAACTTATCGGTCTGTTGATGTCTATTGCCATTTACAACGGCCTCACCTTACCTGTCAATTTCCCACTTGCATTTTACCGCAAGCTCTTAGGACTGAAGGTGAAGCATTTGGAACACATCCGTGATGGATGGCCTGAGCTGTCCCAGGGTCTGGATACCTTGTTGGCATGGAAGGATGGCGACGTTGGCGACGTTTTCACACGAACATACGAATTCAGCTGCGAGGTCTTCGGTCGGATTGAGACAATTGACATGCAAAATGTTGACCGTGATGCTTCGTGGCCTATCTCTAGCAAAATTGCCGAACGTAGCTCTACTCCTGGGTCTAGCGCTTGGATGGATGTCCCAAGTTATTGTCAGCCTACACCAGCGAGCCCACAGTCTTCCATGGCAGTGGAAACCGACACCACATCGAGGCATGGCTCAGATGGTATTGCCAAGTCAGTGTCTGAGTCTTCACTGCACTCTATTCCAGCTGAAGAGGCCGCCCTTGTAACCAACCAAAACCGACACCAGTTTGTCAAGGACTATATCTTCTGGCTTACGGACAAATCGATCAGGCCACAGTTTGAAGCATTCCAAAGAGGTTTCAACACATGCCTGGACCGGTCGGCCCTGTCAATCTTCACTCCTGAAGCCCTCAAGACCGTGGTAGAAGGCATCCAGTCAATTGACGTTAAGGAACTCGAGAACCACGCTCGGTACGAGGGTGGATTCGGTCCTGATCATCGTGTCATTCGTGACTTCTGGAGTGTCGTCCAGGAATATCCCAATGAGAAAAGAGCTCAGTTGCTCGAGTTTGTCACTGCTAGTGATCGAGTTCCTGTCAATGGGATCTCTAGTATTATGTTTGTGATCCAGAAAAACGGTGTCGGCGATTTAGTAAGTTTCTTCCTACACTTCCCACATCCCCGAATTATCACACTGATTGAATATAGCGTCTTCCTACCAGCTTGACGTGCTTCGGGCGCTTGCTTCTACCAGAATACTCATCGAGGAAGGCATTGGCGGAGAAGCTTGACAGGGCACTTGAAAATGCCCAGGGATTCGGCGTTGCATAAAAGAGTCTATACATACCCATTTTGTTTCATACTCTTGCCATGTAATGGCATATTATTTTAGCCCAATAGAAGCATTTCTCCCAAACGGCGTAAATTGGGTTGGACAAATCAGACGCTATAGATCGCCATCAGCCCCAGTGCGAAGCTGTGGTTCGCCCTGACACGCGGCAAATATGAATCGGAGTTCTGACCTCCGTTTTATGACTCTTCTCTCGAAATTACCTATACTTTCAATATATCTTTTAAATATATCTAGCCTACAGTAGAGCTTCAACAATTGACAGTTGGGCTCATCTAAGACTCGCACGTCCCCCAGGTCCCCGCCAACCCCCACGTTCGATAAGACTCATTCAGGGTCTTCAATACCCAGTTCCTTCAACTATTCACCATGGCCCCAATCATCCACTGCGTCCGCCACGCCCAGGTACGTGCCACATAACAATGAACATGCCGCATTCCTCCTCGGTCGCGACAATTGTATCCGCCGAACAGCAGGTCACTAACTTCAATTGCAGGGCGTGCACAACCTCTGCACCGAGAACCACGTTATCCCCGACCCTCTCCTCACAGACCTCGGCCATGAGCAGTGCAAAAAGCTGCGCGACAGCTTCCCGCGCCACGCCGACATCGACTTGGTGACCGCCTCGCCGCTCCGTCGCACCATCTACACAGCGCTGGAAAGCTTCGAGCCTGTCTTCCAAGCCAGGCCGGACCTAAAGATTATCGCCCTCCCTGATATCCAGGAGACATCGGATGTTCCGTGCGACACTGGCAGCGAGCCCGAGGCGTTAAAGTGCGAGTTCAAGAGTGGCGTGGATCTGACTCTTGTGCAGAAGGGGTGGAATAACAAGGTATGGAGAGAGTAGCCGAAGTCTGTGTTAGTATACTGACACCATTAGCAATCCGGTCGCTATGAACCAACCAACAGAGCACTGAAGGAGCGCGCCCGCGCAGCCCGCCGCTGGTTGAAAGCCCGTCCGGAGAAGGAGATCGTGATGGTCACGCACGGCGGATTCCTGCACTATTTCACCGAAGACTGGGAAGACAGCAGCCAGTTCCAGGGTATGTAGCACAATCACAAGGCGTGGAGCATTACCCAGCTAACGAAGTTGCACGATAGGAACCGGTTGGATCAACACCGAGTACAGAACCTTTACTTTCACCGAGGAAGTGCACACCACCGACCTCGACGGAAACCCGCTAGACGGCGACAATGCTTCCATTGAGGAGACACTCGACTCTCGGGAACGTCGTGGTAAGAAGGGCCCCATGCACAGCCGTGAAGAGCAGAGGAACCTGTATAAGCTTGGTACCCAGGGCTGGGATGACCAGGGATTGCAGATGAGCACGGCTGAGCGTGAGGCGGCCAAGGTTGGCGGGGGTAAGGAGGTGAATGGAGTGCGGGTATAAGAAAGACGAAAAGTGAGTTTGCATGCGTGCTTTGATATTCGACATTGCCATTGTGAGAGGCTACAAAGATAGAGCCGATAGATTGGTTCCCATTGTAGATAGACGAAAATAATTCTCTGGATTCGGACTAATACTCCTTTCTTCTCTTCCAATATCTTCTTTCTTCCCCCGGGCCATTAGTCCTTGAGCCCCTGGGGCTACTCCAGCCTTTTGAGTGTTTCATTGGCAATAGAACAATGCTACAAGTCGACTGGGCAAGGGCTCCACGTTGTAGTCTTCTTTATACTCTCCTTTAAACCCTTTGTGATCTCTCGTGCACAATCCGCTTCTTCTGTCTCGGAGTCGATTCTGCGACAGATACAAGGATTCGACAAAGGTCTTGTATAGAGGACCATGGCTGAGTTGATCATTGTCTTAGTTGGGATTGTCTATATAGTAGCCATCTGCTCCCACCTCAATCAGAAGTTCATCAGCATCGAGTGCAAAGACCTGAGTCTACTGTGCTATACAGCACTTCAAGATATTTGATATCCGCTGGGTACCTTTCTATTACTGTGATATACAGAGCTGATGTACAAAATAGGACTGCTCACATGCAGGACCTATTACCTCAGTAGACTGAGTATTATGCTTCCATTGTGCCGTACAGCTGCTAACGATGATCTAGGACCTTTCGCATGCCAACCCCATTTATCTCATACCAGCCTGAGTATCTTCTCTCCTAGTGTGGCATATATTCATTAACAAAAAACTAGGACCATTCGCATACCGACCCGGATTATACCTCTTACAAGTTTGAGCGCATATTAGCTTGAGTATATTTCCTCCTATTTTGCTTTGCGGGTGCTAACATACACTCTAGGACCTACATTGACTGAGTACTATCTCTTCCTATTGTTATATGCTGATGCTAAGAGCCACTTAGGGCCATCACCAAACAGGAGCTACCTCATACTAGGCTCAGTATATTTCCTTCACGGTGTACTTTGCCCATGCTAACATACCGTACAGGACGGCGAACATTATAACCCATTTTGTGCTACACATGTAAGTGGCTCCCTCGGTGTTGACCATTGCTAATACCTGTTCATCTAGGACAAAATATTTTCCAATACTGACGATTTGGCAGCTATTAACCATATCTCCTGGCTAAGTCTTTTTATATTTCTCCCTCCCCAAAAGTATGCATTTGGAGCTAACTGCGAGTGTAAGGAACCTCCCTCCGCGGACCGACCAGTGATCGCCATGTCGCATTCGATTGATACTAATGGCTAAGTCATTCATCGCCCCTCTCTTTGATCCGAGCTCATGCTAACTTAACATAGGTCCACCGAGATATTTTGACCCCGGCCCACCCTCTATCTCTCTTCGATTCAGCTAAGTTATTCCCCAATCTCCATTGTTACTAATGTGTATTTGCAGGTAACCTCGCGGTGGATGGATATCGTGACTTGTTCTCTTCACAAACTTATAGATAAATATCTTTCTAGCCCCCTTCTTATCACTGCTTGTTCAGTACTAATGGTTGTATAGGTTCCTTGCAATTCTCCGTTCACAAAGCCGCCCACCTTTGGATTATAAACAGATAAGTTAACCCCTTGTATCTATTATTACTAACCTTTACTTGATTCCATTGTTCCTATGACTAAAGCAGGGAAGTTAATTCTTTGTCCCCTGTTTCACGCTAACTTTTGTTTAAAGACCCCTCGATTCGACCCTACGAGGCATCATAACCAGCCATGTCGATCTGGTGAGTCAACTCCATTCTCCTCGTTATCACTAACATGGATTTACAGATACTCTAAACTCTCTCATGATGACCAGCTATGATGTATACAGCTAAGTCAAGCCTGAGATCCTTCTCCGGGAATGTTCTCGCTGCTAACAGAATCTAGGTACGTCATTCTTTGTCTCTCAGGCTAGTTTGGGATGAATGGGAAAAGGCTGAATTAAGCCCTGAGCAAAGGTCAGCAATTATCTACGCTCATAAGAGTGGTATTTCGCAGTCAAAGCTAGCTAATGATTTTAGCTGCACCCGCAAGACGATCTGCAATACGTTGAAACGCTTCGAGGAGAGTCAATTACTCAAAAGCCTTCCCCGAACCGGCTGTCCTTCAAAGCTAGACTCTCGAGCTAGCACCTATCTCTATTTACAAGCGCGCCGCCACCCGTTTTGGACCTATAAACAGCGTAGTGCTGCGACACCCGGTCATCCGGCTCGGTCTACTATACAGCGAGTTTTGAAGCAATTCGGACTCGGAAAACAGCGTTCGAAAAGGAAGATACTAATTAAGTCCCCTCTTGCAAGGAAACGGCAAAGATTTGCGCGAAAATGGCGGCGTGAAAGCTTCCAATCGTGGATCTTCTCCAAAAAATACTAATATGTAGGCTAAAGATTCTCCCTAGAGGCGCTCTACTAAACGAAGACGCTACTCTTCCGGCTCTCAAAGCTCCGAGAAGCCTTAAGCTGTAGTTTCGGGAGCACATCCTATGTCTGCACCTCCGCAAATAAATCAGGTAGTAAGAGCTCCTACCACAGTCGTATTTTTCTCTAACGGAAAGCTTAGGTAGCGCTAGGTCTTAACCCTCCCCTAACGAACGAAATTAAACTCCTAATAGAGAAGCGCCTAACCCTTATTCCTTAAGCCATAATAAGGCTGGTTAATATTTACCAGCGCTTATGGGAAGCCTATATAAAGGAATTTCGTATACTCGTAGGTTCAAAAGGTTGGCCTAAGAAGAGCAATAAATCCCTACATCGCATCTGTACCGACAGAGAAGCGATTTTGTGTGACAGCCGTTAAGCTTTCCAATCAGTATTTATAGGTTTCACTAACTTCTACCATCATCTAGTTTCCTAGTTACACACTAGCGAGCTAAATTAAGGCAATTTACAATGCTCAGATCTCTTTAAACGCGGAATTCTCTGCTAGCTTCAATGAAAGATCAAGTTCTCTAATATTGACTACGAGAAGTCTATCTTAATCGATTCTTAATCGTAAAATAAAATGGCAATAGCTATATTCCTAAAGTAAAGTAATTTATGTAGCATCAGTTGCTTTCTTTAGTACTCTAAGACTAACTATTGTAGGATAACCCCGAATTTCAGAGCCTTCAAAATGCAGCGTATAGTCGAACTGAACGCATTGCCGCTGATATGTGTTGAACAAAAAGGGGGTCACCCGTGTTATAGACACGGTTAAACAGCCGTATGAGGTGTAGGGCAATTTAGGTGCTTAAATAATATGATATCACAAAGCGATAGTCTGTGGTGGTGAATAAACATAGATCTTTCTTGCGCCAGATTTTAAACGGTTATTTACGCTACTACTGTAGGAACAGCATTATATCATTGGAAGAGAAATTACGTAACGCTAGAACTGCACATAGGATAGGACTAGGGGCGAACGTTGGCTCCTGTGTTATAATAGATAAATAGTTAGCAGCTATTATTGTAGCGAGCGCAAAACACAAGAGCAATAGAAGAGGATCTTTACCATAGTCAGTTCTCTTGTTCTTCTTTATCTTAGACTCTAAATTTACTCACTAGCTTCTACTTCAGAATACTTTCTGCCTTTTGGTAATAACTTCCTTCGGAGGGATTTTTTCGGACGGCACATTGTCCCCTGCCCTTCGAACTCTTAGTCATGATACCTTGCCCGTCTTAGTATAGAGAGGCCCGTTTCTAACTAACGATGCCGAAAACGTACTGCTAACTGTCGATTGCTACTATTTCCCTAGCTACGAGGGTTAGCCCTCCTTCTCCTAGGCGGGGCTAGATATTTTATCTAAATCCACTAGCTACGACGGCATTTTCCTATTCGTTTCTTACCTCTCCCTATTCTCTCTAGTTCGTTATTTAGAGATCCGCTTCTTAGTCCTAGACAAGGCCACGAGAGAGGTTATTGATAAGCAGTATTTTCTTTTGCCCCGAATAGAGCCGCGGCTAGGCTATCTCGATCGAATTCGTGAGTAAATATTGGGCTTACTCAAATATTTCACCGCTAATGACTATAGGGATCTGCAATTTCAAATAAATATCTAGCCACAAAGAGATTCTACTGGCATAGAAGCCGGGGCATGTATAAGCTCTCTCATGCATAGTCCTGCCCTTGATCCCTTTACCTTTGTTCAAAACATTGTCGGCAATTTCCAGTAATACGTAATTTCTCGTCTTACTTAGAATTTATAAACAAGAACATTGCGTGAGCCTTGATGTAAATATATCGTACCTATCACTATATGATCAGTCAACTTTTGCAGCATGGCAGAACAAGACATCGCACGCGGTTTCAACATGCTCCTCTGTAGAATAGAAGGAGATGATAACACGTATTCAGCTAGCTAATGCAGTCTGTGAATTTAGGAGCCAAGATGTCAGTGGATGGGCTTGTTGAAGTCATTTTCGGCGAAACAAGGGTGCTTTGCGGAGGAATTGAACTGACGTAATAGATTCTATGGCACTGATCTCTAGCCGCTATGGCATTTGAAATGGCAATTTCCTCAGGCAGCTAGGCGCTGAGGCGTATAGGGACCACCATGTAGATCACACTGCAACGAGAAGATAGCCCTGGTAGCAGTGAGGTTTGCCGTGCTATCCGGCAGGTAGTCCTTCCGCCTCCGCTAGTTTGTTGTGGTACAACCTTACAATGTCCTCACAAACCACCCAAATCCGCCTGCGGTTCACAAGTCCGGGAATGTATTCAGTTATTCCTTCTTCGTATCGACTCTTCTTCTCAAGCTCCGCCATAAGCCTAGACAGTCTGCCCTCCAATGCCTGCGATTTGAACGGGTCCATGTCATGAACCTCCCAAAGCCAAGGCATGTCGGTTGCCAACTTCTTTTTCCAGGATTCGTATGGACAAGCATGCATCGAATACGACGCGGCTTTAAGAGCAAGCACAGATGCAGCCGGAAGGAGGTTGAATATCTTTTGTCGTAATTCATAGGGGAGCTTGTCGAATATGTCGTGGATATCTTTTACAGTCCGGGACTCTAAGCTTTTCTTTTCCTCATCGACAAGGAGGTCTTGAATTACTCCCAGGTAAATCTCCAGCTCGAGTATCTTGACAGGATGCGTCACCAGGACCTAGTGTTTTACTCCATAAGCAAGTCCTCATTGCACTTAAGTGAGAAGGCGATTTACCTCTTCCCCTTTTCTGCAGTCCCAATATTGACCCGAGGGCGGATCGGGATCACCGTAACCTAACGCCAGCGAGTTCCATCGGTCTTGTCTCATCTCTTCACAGAGAGCATAAAACACGTCTTCGTCTATCATCTTATTCTTGAAACAACGAGGAAGAATGTCCTTGTAGCAGACCTCATGAAAAGGGAACACAATAGGGTCTTCCATCTCCTGGCTGCGATCATAGTATCTAGAGAAAATTAACACCGTATTAGTATAAGAGTAAATGAAACATACGCGCACAAATAGGACACTTCGCCTCTTTCATCAATGGGAACATTAGGATCTAGTGCAAGGTCAGGCAACACTTGACGCCTAGAACGTTAGATTCGAACTAACCAGCACCTCGATCCGCAACGATACAACCCTAGAAGTGGTTGTTAGGATATTTCACTATTATTCATGATCAATTGCTGACTCACGTAGTCTTCATATCTACCCCGACCGGTGACGAAAGACCTATACTTGTTAGGATAAGCATGTGGATTCATGGAATAGAGAACTGACTTTCTTTCTCCCAGGATGTTAGCATTGGTACCAAGAGCGCAGATATTTTGTAGCCATTCAAGATCGCTCTTCCCAATGACTTTTCCACTGTATGCTGCGCCGGTCTCGTCATCAGAGTTAATGGAGAGTCTGCTACTGAACGTCGAGCCACATATCGCACAATACACATCCCAGCCGCCCATATTCGCGATGGACTTGTTGACTCCGACAGAGTTCTATACTCCGACAGAGTTCTATACTCCGACAGAGTTCTATTGAAAAAGTTGGCCGGAAGCACCAGCTGTCATGTAGGAGATGTACCTCCTATTCCAGGAATTCTGCGGAGTATCTCTTTGGCCAAAACGAGTAAGTGACAGCAATCCCTCACCCACCTCCTTGACCGTCAGAAACAAACGGGGTGGTAATGAAGAGAAGCCGCACTAATTTTACCAAGGCTACAAGCGCAACAGCCAACTACAAATGCTCAGTTTCGGTCCGGCCGAACTATTACCCGGCAAGTACCTTACGCAGAGGAGACCACCTCAGCTCTACCGCCTAGTCTTCCGCTCTCAGCAAGAAATTTGCTAGTCTGTATTGCGTCAAGAAAGTGATTTAAGATCATCCCCTGGATATATATTATGTGGAATGTAGATAAGGCTCCATTTAGCAGCTCAAGAAACTAAATATGAATGTGTGATACAGAAAATAGAGGAATATTTTGAATGGCAGAATATTATGTCATCATCAAGGTGGTTTTAATACTAATCTTCGGTTGGTTTCGTGACACGTGATTCCGTTTGTATCAAAACTAGAGTAGTATTAAGAGTAGGGTAGTTCGTACTTCTGGGGGACCGCGTGGCCAAGATTGAATTTCTCTGGTTTTAATACTACTGGGATATTACTACTGTTAATACTCATGTACACAGGTGCAGCATAACAACCCTCGCATTGAGAAATACTCATCCAACTCGGACTTCAGGTCATCACCCTCGAATATCCCAGCAATATAATGATCCGGTCGCAACAGATATGCAGCACCTTTCTTGAGACCAACATTGCCGTGCTTCTCATCCCACTGAAAGACGGCCAACCGAACGTGCTTGTTCTTGCGCCATTCCTCCAGCCCCATCGTGGGTTCGCCATACACATGGATCTGCCAGCAGATGTCGCGCAGTGTCCAAAAATTATCGCCAAGCTCAGTCTTTACCCACGGCAGACGGTCACCAGGCTGTACCATCTCCGAGCCTTGCGATGTTTGGTTCAGAGTGCTGGCCCCCCTGTAGGAGCAAACAAGCTGAGATCCACGTTGGAAGATCTCCATGCGAGCGGCCTGGAATCGGGTGACTACTGGAATAAGATATGGAATGACCCATGCGCGCAGCATGTGTGGGAAGAATCCGGAAGATGTGAGAATGTTGAAGCCGTGGTCTGTCGCGCCGACCACATCCAACGCGAATGAACGCCGTTCGGGTTCGTAGGTATCCAGAAGGTCATCCTTTGCTTCCTCTGTCATCGAGGGGTGTTTGATCACAGTTGCCAGTTTCCATGCCAGGTTGATAGCATCCATGATGCCGGTGTTCATGCCTTGGCCGCCCACAGGACTGTGGATGTGAGCGGCGTCCCCGGCGACGAACGCTCTGTTGCTGCGGAACTTCTCTGCCACGCGGTGATGGCTGCGGTATGTCGAAAACCAGTTGACTTCTTGAATTTCGAGATTTGTTGTCTTCTTTATTTTTGGGAGTACGTCCTCAAATGTTACTTCGGGATGAGGCTCTGAGGTACTGGTTTGTTGATGCTCGTTGGTCTTGGGGATTGTCGTCCCAATCAATCGGATGTGGCGTTCCTCGATGTACGGTAGAACCAAATTGAAAGTCTCGTCGACAAAGGTCAAATGAGCCTCGCCGTTGAAAAGAGGACTCTCTTGCTCTTCGGCTACAATATCTGCAATGTAGAAGAGCGGCACGTAGGTGTCACCTTCATATTTTGCCCCAATACCATGCCGAACCACCGAGTGAGCGCCGTCGCATCCAACAATATAAGCAGCTTCGCAGGTAGACTCGTCTCCGTTCGCACACATAAGTGTTGCGGTAATGCTTGAGCCATTATCCACAAATTTCTGCAGCTTGGTTCTCCTCTCAACAAAGATACCAAAGGAGTTCAGTCGCTTCTCAAGCAAGCATTCATGCTTATCTTGTGGAAAGGTGAGCAGGTACGGATATGGAGTCAACTCCGTGCCAAATTGTCGCAGGTTTATGTGAGCCCTGTGAGAGCCATTGACCCACACATTAGTAGCAGGAAGCTGATATCCACGTTCTATCAGTTCATCGGCTAGGTCGAGTTGGCGGTATAGCTCCAGAATGCGGGCATGCACGGCGAGCGCGCGCGAGTTGTGTGCCGGGCCAGTTCCCTGGTCAATAATGCGGAATCTGACGCCCTGAGCATGAAGCCAAAGAGCAAGAACAAGGCCAGTAGGCCCTGCCCCAGCAATCAGAACGTCCGTTCCGATCATCTCTGGAACCCAGAATGTTAACCCAAGAGTAGGAAATATGTGCTCGATCTTGATCAGATAATATTTGCCAACAGAAAACACAACGAGACACCAAAGTCAGACAGGGGGTAAAGGAGAAATCTATGAGAAAATGAACGACCACCTATGGACAACTGCTACAATTCGTTATAATAGGCTGCTACATTATCTGCGTGTTCAAATCGTATTCGGGCGGCCCCCGAGTATTCGAACAGAGCAAAAATCGGAAAAGTGCCCGCCGATCGATGCGTGGCCCCCCGATTCTGTCGCACATCATACGTCTCAGGCGCGCAATGGAAAATGAAGATTGGCTTCCCAGATTGTGGGTCTGCATTCATTGGCCAACCTACCTCAGGGCCACCTCACATGATCACGGAACGTCGTTCGGCTCGGTTTTCCTCATTACAGTTGAGATGGGGCGTTTCTGCCCTTGATCCGCAATCTCACACGTCAATCGATCAGTCGATCGTCGAACCTCGGCGCCTCCAGGTGCTTCGCTTCTGGCCCATTGCGGCTGTACAGGGGCTTTAAATCTGCCCCAGGGCCGCAAGGCTCCGGCAAGGGTGTTGGCAGCCTTGGATGATGATGTTCGCATCATTTCGGAACCGAGGAAGACCGGGATACTGCTTCGATGATTAGTGATGCTGTTACTCAGGAAGTGGCTCTTGTGAGCGGGTTCGACGAAACGCAAATTGTCGCATGACGAAGACATGTCTTCTGAACTCAGACGATCTGAGTGGTTGACCAAAAGAGCTAGAACTTTGCGGCGATGTTCAATGTATTGATTTGTTGTAGACTTACAACGAAAACCATGGTCCGCCCTACGGCTGGTTCTCTGGAGAGAAGCAGAGCTGCCTGTGATAGCTTGGAAGGAGGGGAAACCGTGGCCCGTCTCAGGACACACCCTATCCGGAGCAGCAAGGCTGCCTGGGATAGCTTGAAAGGAGGGAAAACTGTGGCCCGTCTCAGGATGCACTGGATCCGGAGCGGCGAGACTGCCTGGGCTAGCTTGGAGGAAGGGGAAACCATGGTCTATCCCACGAAGGATTCTCTCGGGAGATAAACACATGAACAGCTGTGGTGATCCTGAAAGGACCCATTACTTTACTAACACAGCTTCTAGAAATGTCATGGAGTACAAAATATCCCTGACACGGTTGTAGTCAAGGTACGTTCTAGCATTGGGTGGTCTTGTCTTAGAAGCCTAAATTGCTACTATGTCCAAGAGCCTTTTCCACAAGATTCGGCCTTAAACTTCTCCTGAAATTGGCTTTAGGTCTGCTTAGTCCATCGATTATGCGTTATACTCGGGGAATTAAAGTAAATACCTTGTTTGAATATTGCACCGTAGGCGAATCTCGTTCGTCCTATACCCAAACAAACTGTATTGTTGCTAAGACTTAGTTTTGGATGCTCCCATTCATATGTGTAATTCTTATTAAACGAATAGAGAGTAAACAAAATTATACTGAAGCATCAAGTGTGTCACTCGTTAAAGGGACATGCAATGACAATCCGATCCCCCGAGTTGTGGTTCCACCTTTTGCTGTTACTACCGGGCAAATTTGATGTCGGAAACTACACTTGCATATAATACCTGTTTTGGATATACTACGTAACTTAGATCAGGGAGATGCTATCGTAAATGTGCAGCATAGGCAGCTAAATTGATGACCTGCATAGCCGATGGACGCGTTGCTGTGCTTAATACCCCATAGATTTGCCTAAATACTGGTGCCTTATAAACATGACGGTGCCAATCAGCGTGCACAGCGCCAGGGCGGGCTTAGCTATTTTTAGGCGCCGATCACCGCGTCCCGTGGCGCAGACTGCAGACTGCAGACTTCCCGAACTCGTCCACATATAACTCCCCATAGCCAGTGGTTTGAAGTCCAGATATCAGTGGACAGAATGATCGATGAAAGTTTGCCCAGTAAGACAGCTGCAGTCTCCTTTTTTTTTAGTGGCTACGTCATTCCAGTACTGATCACTGACCTCACCAGCGTTCTTCGTGAAGAACAACTCAAAGCAGCCTCAGATTAGCACGGTATACCACCGCCAGCATGGCAACGACCCCGAGCCTGCATACTCCCTGCGGGCCCTTGATCCCGCTCTCCCGACATCGAAGAACCGGTACGGTGTCGCGCTATACGATCCCTACGTGACCGACGTTGTCTATGGCGAGGTCGCTGTAGTGCCCGAATGGACGCAACCCAGTCTCTCAGCAGACACGATTCGTGCGAATGGTGGTGCACCACCTCCTCCGGAACCTATCCTCCCGACCGAGTTCATGATCCAGCTCTACAACCCCGACCAGGAGATCACAGTCAAATACCAGGCGAAGACGTGGAACCGCCCCGCACGTTGGGAGTTCGAAATGCCCCAAAATACATTTCGGGTTCCCTCTGGTTCCTCACTGGATCAGATGCAGAGTGATCCAGCAACAGCGGACGTGACTGAGAAGCTACGATTCAGCTGGCGCAAGGATGGGAAGCTGTCCAAGGATTTGACCTGCCTGCTCCATGGAAAGACTTCCACCATCCCCGATACACGCACAAAGAGTCGCGAACCTGATATTACAGTTGCACTCTTCCAGGGTCTTAAGGAGCTTACTCTCTACGAGCCAAACCTATACCGGGTGGAGATGGAGGATTTCAAAGGATTGGAGGTCGTGCTACTCCTGGCAACTGTAGCTATTAAAGACATCTTCTTTGGCCCTGCAAAGGAAGCTTTCCACATCACCCCTGGTGGACCCAACCAGATCGTGCGTAAGCCAGCGGCGGCGGCTGCGACAACATCAGCTAGCAACGCTCAACCGGCACAAAGGAACCCACAAGCTGCTACCCCTGGTCCCTCCGGTCCGAAGACGAAGCCATCCCCGCCTCGCCTTAGCATTCCAAACTCGTCATCTCCAGCCCCACAGGAGCGGCGACGACAGGACGAACTCGCGCGACAGGAAGAACAGCGACGAGCGCAGGAAGTCTCCGCAGCAAAGCAACGCCGACGCGACGCAGAGGTCGACAAAGAGACCAAGCGTCTTCAGCAGATCTACGGCAAAGAAGAAGAGCAAGCGCGCATGCAGCGCCGTACACCCGCCCCATCATCCCGACCTCATCTTCCACCCCGACACACCAACCCTCCCCAACCCTACTCCCACCAATACTCCCAATCCTCAGCCCAACTATCATCCCAACCCCGTCCATCCCGACACTCCCGCCCCCATTCCCACTACCCACCACAAGGCGCACCCGTCCCTACATTTGCGAATGCCAACAACCCCTATCTCCACGCACCAGGTAGCATGGATCCCCGCGCCCAGTCCTCAACCCACCTGATGCAGTCACGCCCACAACAACCCTGGCCACAGCCCCGCCCTCAGTCTACAGTTGGCTTCTACGCCCAGCCTACTAGCAGTGGTGCTCTCCCCGCATCAAAGCCGGCTCCCAAAGTGCAGCAGAAAAAGAGCAGTTTCTTTGGGTTTAGGCGCAATAAGGAGGAGACTGCTGCTACCAAGCTGGAGAAAAAGCGGAGTTCTATGTTTTGATATGCGATACCCGGGAGTTTCTTCTCTCTTTTTTTTGTCCTTATTGGGATTGATACCTTGCATTTACTTGCGGTCATATCTTGGGCGCTCGGGAACATTCGTTCGCGAATGCTCTATTTTCCAATTTCATGAAAGGTCTTTTGTAGCATATGTTGTCCACTTGATAGGTCTTTGGGCATGCAAACACTCAACATTTACCAAAACGAATTGACAGTCGTGACTCGTATATCATGGAAAAGTGAGTTGGTCGAGTAGATTTTAGACAAAGATAAAAGGCCAAGCAGGCAGCCAGGCTAGCCTTTAGGGATTAGTGCCTTTTCTGCTTTCCCATATCAGTTTTCTTCCTCTCCGGATCTAGCAATCCATTGCAATGCCCCCAGAAATGTCCGAGGACCTCAAAAAGGACGCCCAATACGGCCGCTTGGCCTTTTGACAACTTCGCTCTAGTTCGGCCCCCACCACCCACCTCTCATACCCCATCTGACCTCCCAGGAACACTGGAGCAATGACATGACCCTTCCAAAACAAGAGAACAAAAATGGGAAGAACTAGTCTGGGAGTACCAAAAATTGACTCTGATTCAGCGCTGGGTACGTTACGCAAGGCTCTGATTCAGCCCCAGCTTACCCTTTGCACTAATGCATGGTCTGATACACACATTCCAGCCATATCAATGCCTCGCAGACTCCGAATCATCTCCCGTGGTAGTAGACAAAGAAGAGATGAACCGTATATTCCTAAACCAAACCATCCACGAACACAAGCCTAGGAACCAGCATGGGAATACAAACCATCTGGCTACGAATGTGCTACGACCAAAGCCTCACAGCAAAATATAACTCCCTAAAACGAGCAGCTGGAGCAGGTATCTCAGACTGTATGACAAAAGTCCTAGACGATGCCACGCGGTATAACTTCAAAGAATCCTGGCGTCAAATCTTAATCTGCATACCAGACCTCACTGACTTATACGGAATCCTTAATATGGATGGTGATGGAAGCAATTTGCAATATAAATCCGGACAAGATGATATAGAGCTGGTTGAGCAGGTAGAAGGGGAAGATGAAGATTGTCGAGAGCTGTCATTGGTAGAATGGAGGATTCAAGCCGGGATTTATTTGCTTGGTAAGGAGGCTAGTGAGTCTGGGTTTATTAAGGTCGTTTGGACTGATGAACATGGGGATTGTGTTTGGGATAATAGGTTGGATCCAGTGGTTTCTGATGTGGAGGGATTGGCTGGCGCGTTGATGAATTCAACTAGTTTGGTTGGAATTACTGGGTATAATGGGACGAGAGGAGCTTTGATTGAGCGGTAGAGTAACTTGTCCAATATATACCTATTCTAGAGCAAGATCTGGATTCGGCTCTAGCTACTAGATTACCTAGCACCCTCCTCGTTCTTTCCTAAATGCGCCCTCCTCAGAATATTTGGATGAAGGCGAGGGCTTCTTCATTCATAATTCCATGATCATAAGAAATATATTTATTTTTTATATATTAACAACTAAAATTGATGGTAAGAAATCCCTACTGTGGTTGAAAAGCAGGTTTAGGTTGTTGAGTAATTGTAACCGAAAGCCATTCCTCCTTGCCAGCAGGAAGTAAAAAAGGAATTGAACACAGCGCAATAAATCACTAGAGAGTAACGGCGTAAGCACTTAGAATCCCACCTTCTTTACCTAGGTCAGTAGTAACATGAGGGGGAACATTTCGATCAATCCCCAGGATCATCAAGGATTCCTTCAAGAATACGCCCTTCGCCGGAGGCTCTTGGGTACCTTCCTTGCTGGGAACAGGCAGAGCATGCTTGGGCGAAAGCGGTGCCACAGTCATGAAATTGATGTTGATTCCCTCTCGACCAAGGATGCTGCCCACAACTCCGATCTTCCCGGGTGAATCATAGTTTTCGCAGATCAGCAAGGTTCCTTCGGGCTCAAAAGAAGCTTCAAATCGGCCCAAGCGAGTAATCAGCAGTTGGTCGCCAGAGCAGGTGCCAGAGATGATGCGTTGCTGTTGGGCTGGGACAGGCACAGAGGTGTCAGCAGCAGGCGCCCGTGACGATGAGCGAGATGGTGGGCGGGCAACAAGAGTCACCAGCGATGAATATGACGAGTGCTCTGATGGGTCGCGGGAATGTTGCTCAGAGACATAGATACCACGTTCACGG